ACTCATAGTAATATATTTGTTTTAAATTTTTTTGTAACAAAACTATTTTGATTGTTTGTATAATTATTTCAACTCTAATTGGGAGATGAAATGTCTATAGCTAAAATTCCACTCTATTTGAGAGATGAAATGTATTGTACTAATTCTACTCTAATTGAGAGATGAATTGATTTGAATTTAGTTTAATTTTTATTTTAAACTTAAATTGTATATGTAAACTCTATTGAAGTGTTAATCCACTTCTGCCACAATCAGTGTGTACTTCCAATATACACAAAGAAAAACCATGTGTATATATACCTCAATTTAAGACTTAGAATCTGATTGGATATGCCAATTCCACCAGGTCACTCGCAACAATAACAAAGTTCGTCTGACAAGTGACACTTGTATTCTTAATCTGATTGGATATTCCGTAATTAGTGTAGTGTAGTTAACTCTTAAGTGTTGGTAAACTAGTGAGATAAATTCTAATGCTAATTAAGTACCTTTATATACATACGTAATGATTTAGACAATATTATTTATCGTTCTAAAAATAAATAGAGGTAATTGTGAGACGGATATAATATATTTATGCAAAGATAAGGGTTGTTGATGACATTGCAATGTTTGCCCTTGCGTAGTGATGTGTATAATCTATTGATAATAATTGTGCTACGTGTGTGTGATATTTGTAAAGTATTTGTACTTTCGTATTTGTATTGCCTGAATTTTTTTTTAAAACCTGCTGTAGATTATCACTATATGGAAACGACCTATAATTTATAGAATATATGTACATAGATAGTACGATCATAATGCTCATTGTTAAAACCATACTACATTAATGGTTGCAATTCTAAGTATAATTTTTCAAGCGATCTTTAGCCTGATGTTTATTAATTGCTGTCAATTGTTGAGGAGCAATTAAAGCCAACTACTTAAACTAACATAATTAAAAGTTTCTTTGATTTAATAACTAATGAATATATATGTAATAATTAATTCTAATCAATAAAATAAAACTACAATATTCAAAGTAAATAGCCCTGTTTTAATAATCAAATAATAGACATACGTGTATAATTGAATAATCATTAATGTCCATCTTTAATAATAGCTACACTTGTTTTACTATTGAAAACATTGACCACAAAAATACACTGATACCACGACCGTATCTGTTTCCCAGAACATTTTTAAGGTCATCTATTTCCTTTTTCATTATGTCCATTTCACTTATCGGTTTTCCTTTATCGGTCTGTTGTCTCAACACCTCTAATTCTTGTTTGATTCTATCTAGTTCTGATAGTTCTTTGGTATCCCTGGTATATATATATATAGCACACTGTCTATATTTGTCGGCCCATTTTTCTTTTAGTACGTTCCTTACTCTGTCATTCAGACGGACAATGCTTGCCCCGTTGTTGATCGAAGCTGATGTTTTGTGCCAGTACTGTTCTACTTCATTTGTTAGCTTGTCTGCATACTCTTTCACAGCTATGGTTAAAAATTCCCGGAAATTAAGTTTCACAGTGCTGTTGAATTCTTGCAGCTTTAATTTAAAGAATGTGCTTGCTTCATCCGATCCAAATCGTGGTGAGAATGTAGCATTTGCTATATTAGCGTAAACCGGTAGAGTGTCCCTATCCAATCTTCTAATGTCACTTAATAGAGTCACTATTGGGTGCCTTTTAGCTAAAGTATTGTCAATATTGATATCATCCGTTATATTACCACTACTGCAGCTCTCATTAACTAGGTTATCAAAGTCAAAGTTAATTGGTACGATTTTAACGTTACTAGGTATTTGTCCACACGATATATCATCTTTAATGCCTCCACTAATTGCGTCCACAATGTCCGTATCCGATTCAGAATTATTATTCATTTTCCTTTTGCCAAGACTAAGTTTAGATTTGTGCATTTGTATCTCGTTATTGAGGTTTGCGAAGAAATAAGTTTTATAGCTATTATAAATGTTAAATTATTAGAAAAGTATTCCAAAAATATTAACTTTCATTGGTCAATACTTAGACTGTAAATTTCAAGCCCATTTTGGGGGTTGGTCTATCTATTTTAATATGCAACAACGAAGATAACATATAAATCAGGCTGTAAGTTTTCTCATCTGAATTTTTTTGTTTTACATTTGTCATAATGTTGAAGGCTATTTGGTGACCAATAGCTATTATTGTTAACTTCTACGTCTTTTGGTCTCTAGTGGAGAATGGTCTCATTGGCAATATATAACTTCTTCTGATTTTCATATTTATTCTTATTACGCTTGTCTAAAACTGACTTATTCTTGTCTGTGGCTAATGAAGACTATTTATCAATCAAAACTTTCACATATTTCGTGTTTATGATTAAGCAAATATACTTTTTGAGAGCATTTGATGTCACTATTAGTGTGCAATTTTCCAAGTTATAAAGGGACATAATTCTAGAACAATAAGTGACTCACAGCTCAAATTTGAACACTTTTTATGAGTTTTGGTTCTGAGCATTGCACATGAGTTTCTCAAATTTTTTAGCAAAACTTGGCCCAACTGCAGAAACTTAGAAATAAAAAAAATACCTGTGTTATTTCCCTTATTGACTTTGGTATATCGAAGGCTCTTCATATCATATAGCACTGTTTAAATATCTGTAGTGTTGCAGTGTTCTCCCCAGGAATTTTGGATAGCATCACATTTGGCGTAAAAAAAATTATATTTATTTTTCAATGTCATTTGTTACGCGCGGCGATGCTCTTTCTTTTAAGTTATGTTGATTTTTTTCAATTCATAACTGAGAATACAATTAAAGTATAACTGTTCTTTTAGTTTATTTCTTTAATATTCATTTATAGTTACAGAATTATATTTTTCTTGTTAGAAACTACCAACTAAAAATCTAGTACAAAAGAGAACTTCTTTTATATCAAAAAGGAAAAGAAAGTATCATATAGTAATACCATTTCAATTAAAAACTATTCTGTTTATCATGTTTATGAAATTCATTATTTCCTGAGACTCAATGTATCAGTCCCAGCTGATTCAAACAGATATATGTTTTTAACATTGTTAAACTACTTTAATCAGTAAATTAATTGAAACAATGCGTTTACATAGAAAGAAATAAATTTTGCAAGGAGATCTAACAAATAGTCTGTAAATTCATGTGGAATGAGTAGCTTTCCCTATTGGGATCATTATTATTCTGTCAGCTGTGCCGTTTCTGCGTCTGTAGTTATTACCGTAAAAATGCGGATTTTGATCATAGCTGGTCCGCTTCCGATCCGTAATTAGTACAAATATATCAATGGCGTTCGAAGAAAAATTTACGAAAATAAACAATGTTTGAGAAGCGAATTGGATGAATATATCATGATTTTACTGTAATAAATAGATGGAACATTACCTAAAGGCAATTTTCATCACGTTCTAATGAAGTATAGAACTTATTTTGCCCAGAATCGAAATGTTTTATGTACGCTCTCGAGTACCGGAATGGAAAGAAAACACTTCTTTACAAGTTGTTAGTTTGAAATAACAAACGACCAGCGTGTTAAGTTCGCCCCTTTTTTGGGTTTTTTTTTTTCTTCTCTTAGGAGACGAATTTGCCTTGATTCAAACGTAGATTTCGAATTGTTTATGATTTTCTCGATGTCAAAATTTTGCAATTGGGCCACGTGTTATCAGTCATGTCATAAGTGTCAGCTTGGGGTATTCGTATCCAAACAGTTATCACCCAAAGGGCAATTAACACCTATTTAATCAATCTTAATTGCCTCTTATGTCCGATTTGAAGGGATTACAATTAAAGGTGATATAATTTTTATGATCACAAGCGGCAATTCGATGAAAGTTCGAAATTTAGGACATCGATATTGCGGCAATGTATAGAGCAGACAAGAAAAAAAATAGCGTCCTCAAAATAATTATAGCGTCGCGGAAATTATTATAGCGTCATGGTAAAAAATTATAGCATCGCGGCGCTGCGACGCTAAAACGGCCTGGGGAGATCACTGGTGTTGAGATCATTTCAAACTTGACATATACTTTTAACTCTCTTTAAATTGATCAATTAAGTTTTTATAAAATGTGTAGTCATTATTAACATGGATAGGCTTAAACATATTGTTTACTTTATATGATAATCGGATGCTTATCCTAAGTTGGATATGGCACCTATTACAATTATATCAGTAGTTTACAAATCTAAAGTTTTCAATAATTGAATTATTTTTATATTGCAGATGATGTTTTTGGTAAAGAGCGGAACTATAATGGAGGGGACAGCCGTAGATGAAACTTTTGAGATAGAAGATCTAATGTTGTACTGAGAAGACAGTTCTGCTGAGAGTTTTGTGATGTAGCAAGGTTTGAGATTCTCTTAATTTGACTTAAGATATTGGTAATGAGATTGGTTAAATTAGACATTTTAAAAAAAAGGATGTTTTTAAGGGCCGATGATTCATTTCCTTTATTTTCTAAATATACATGTTCCCAGAAATGAAGTCTGCAGATGACTTATTGCAGTTTAACTACATCCAGAATCCTGTGAAGAATCAACTTTCTACTTTACCTTTAAAAAGTCACTAATTATTGAGTTATTTTTCTTTTTAAGTGGCCACCAAAATTAAGGTGAAATTATGCTGAAATATCAAAATATTAGAATTTCCCCAAAAAACTCTAGCCTTTATATCACACATCTTTTGTTGGCGCAGCAGTATATTTAAGAAAAATGAAAAAAGTAAAAAAAAAAATGTGGAGAACTGAAGAAAAAAATATGATACTGCTGAAAACCTGTGTGATATAGAGGTTTGAGTTTCTCTAAATTTGAGTTCAAAGAAATTGGTTATAAGATTTGTTATATTAGACCTTTATTTTTTAAAGTATATTTTATAAGGGTGAAGATCTATTTCTTTTATTTTTTAATACACATGCTCCCAGAAATGAAGTCTGCAGATGACTTATTGCAGTTTAACTATTGTATGCTGAATTTTAGTTTATGAATCATGGGAAAAATTGACTTTCAACTTTATCTTTAAAAACCCTAATTATTCAGTAGATTCTTTTTAAGTAGCCACCAAAATTAAGGTGAAATTATGCTGAAATATCAAAATATTAGAATTTCCCCAAAAAACTCTAGCCTTTATATCACACATCTTTTGTTGGCGCAGCAGTATATTTAAGAAAAATGAAAAAAGTAAAAAAAAAAATGTGGAGAACTGAAGAAAAAAATATGATACTGCTGAAAACCTGTGTGATATAGAGGTTTGAGTTTCTCTAAATTTGAGTTCAAAGAAATTGGTTATAAGATTTGTTATATTAGACCTTTATTTTTTAAAGTATATTTTATAAGGGTGAAGATCTATTTCTTTTATTTTTTAATACACATGCTCCCAGAAATGAAGTCTGCAGATGACTTATTGCAGTTTAACTATTGTATGCTGAATTTTAGTTTATGAATCATGGGAAAAATTGACTTTCAACTTTATCTTTAAAAACCCTAATTATTCAGTAGATTCTTTTTAAGTAGCCACCCAAATTTAGGTGAAATTATGCTGAAATATCAAAATATTAGAATTTCCCCAAAAAACTCTAGCCTTTATATTACACATCTTTTGTTGGCGCGGCAGTATATTTAAGAAAAATGAAAAAAGTAAAAAAAAAAAATGTGGAGAACTGAAGAAAAAAATATGATACTGCTGAAAACCTGTGTGATATAGAGGTTTGAATTTCTCTAAATTTGAGTTCAAAGAAATTGGTTATAAGATTTGTTATATTAGACCTTTATTTTTTAAAGTATGCTTTATAAGGGTGAAGATCTATTTCCTTTATTTTTTTAATACCCATGCTTTTGTTGGCGCGGCAGTATATTTAAGAAAAATGAAAAAAGTTAAAAAAAAATTATGCTGAAATATCAAAATATTAGAATTTCCACAAAAAACTCTAGCCTTTATATCACACATCTTTTGTTGGCGCGGCAGTATATTTAAGAAAAATGAAAAAAGTAAAAAAAAAAATGTGGAGAACTGAAGAAAAAAATATGATACTGCTGAAAACCTGTGTGATATAGAGGTTTGAATTTCTCTAAATTTGAGTTCAAAGAAATTGGTTATAAGATTTGTTATATTAGACCTTTATTTTTTAAAGTATGTTTTATAAGGGTGAAGATCTATTTCCTTTATTTTTTTAATACACATGCTTTTGTTGGCGCGGCAGTATATTTAAGAAAAATGAAAAAAGTAAAAAAAAAAATTATGCTGAAATATCAAAATATTAGAATTTCCCCAAAAAACTCTAACCTTTATATTACACATCTTTTGTTGGCACGGCAGTATATTTAAGAAAAATGAAAAAAGTAATAAAAAAAAAAAATGTGGAGAACTGAAGATAAATTATGATACTGCTGAAAACCTGTGTGATATAGAGGTTTGAGTTTCTCTAAATTTGAGTTAAAAGAATTTGGTTATGAGATTTGTTAAATAAGTAAGACCTTTATAATATGTTTTATAAGGCTGAAGATCTATTTCCTTTATTTTTTAATACACATGCTCCCAGAAAGGAAGTCTGCAGATGACTCATTGCAGTTTAACCACATTCAGAATTTTAGTTTAGAATCATGGGAAGAATTGACTTTCAACTTTATCTTTTAAACCCTAATTATAATTTTATTTATTCAGTAGATTCTTTTTAAACAGGCCCATTGCAATTAAGGTAAAAATTTTGATAAAATATGAAATTTTAGAATTTCCCATGAATCTAGACTTTATATTACACATCTTTTGTTGGGACAGCAGTATATTTAAGAAAAATGAAAGAAAAAAAAAAGATGGAGAAAAAAATATGATACTGCTGAAAATTTGTGGGATTTGAGTTTTTATAAAATTTGAATATAAAAATATAAGTATTAAGGATCTTGTACAGTCAAACCTGTTTTAAGCATGTCACTCATGGGAAGTATCAAAAGGGACAGCTCGAGAAAAGTGACCTTTAAAAAGAGTTTCTGTGGCTGGGAATGCAACTTGGTTTAGTGTTTTAGTTGGAAGATTTATCGTTCGTTCATTTGAGCAGACAAATATTAAAGGGTGGACTCTTGCACTGTCAATTTGAAGAAGACATTTATTGATTTAAAGGTGCTGATATAATTGGATAAACAAGTCTGTGAAATGCTTTTCAATGGTATTAATTGAAGGGAGTGGAATACAAGGATTCACAAATTTACTTCCTATTGCAAGATCTATGTTGCAAACCGTGAAACAGGTTCCGATTCTCATTTTGATTTTGATACTGAACACATATATTTTTCATCATGATTATAATTGTAATTAAAAACAGTAAAATGATGATTTCGTGCATAAAATAAGGTGACCGCATGGGACAGGTGACCACTGAAATGAGTTAAATATATAGAGAAAATGCTTGAGAGGGTCACCAAGAGACCGTTAGAGATAGTTGACCTCTTAAATGAGGTGGTGGGTGACCTTAAGGCAGGTTTGACTGTATATGATTATTTTTTTCACATCTAGAATTTTTGTAATCAATAAATCATGTAAAGAGTGAATTTCAATCAACTTGATCATTAACAACCATTGTTTTAGAAGTTTCTTTTTTAAGCATAAGCAGCAACTGTTTTTTTTTAAGGAAATTACCTACATGCATGAGATGCAAAGAGTGGAATAATCAGCAAGGAGACATGAAATTCATTTTCAGGTATAATTGGATTGCTGCTACATAAGAAAAGTTCACAATCAGGAAATTGAAGTCTCTTTTGTCAAATTATTAGCTCTCAGCTGGTCCTTGCTGATAGTTTCTGGGCGACGGCAAGTTTTGAAGCACAGTATCCGTATCTGTTGTATCCTTCTTCTGGTTCAGTGGGTTAGGTGTGATCAACTTTTGAGTCATCTATATTAAAAGAGATCGCCTTCATAATGTGGAATGTGAAATTAAGGGATGCTTGATTCTTTTTATCCTTGATAAGTGCCTGTATGAAGTCTGTCTTAAAAGGGGCAGGGTTCCCATAGCAATGTCAACATTTTTAGCTGACCTGGCCCAAAGGGCCAAGTGAGATTTTCTCATCACTTGGCGTCCGTTGTCGTTAACTTTTTAAATTTTGAACTTTTTCTAAAGAACTAGTGAATGGAATGAAACCAAACATGGCATGATTGTTCCTTATGGCCGCCAGCGTGGGACTTAGTTTAACATAGGACCCTATGGACAATACATGCAAATGTCTTTTTTTAGAGAACCACTGAATGGAATGAAACTAAACATAGCATGAACTTTCCTTATGAGGTGCTGACCAAGTGTTGTTACCTTGAAGTCGATCCATCATCCAAGATGGCCAGCAGCTTGGGACTTAGTTTAACATAGTACCCTATGGACAATACATACAAATGTCTTCTTTTAGAGAACCACTGAATGGAATGAAACTAAACATGGCATGAATGTTCCTTATGAGGTGCTGACTAAGTGTTGTTACTTTGTAGGTGATCAATCATCCAAGATGGCCGCCCGTGGGGGACTTCGTTTAACATTGGACCATAATGGACAATATATACAAATGTCTTCTTTTAGAGAACCACTAAATGGAATTAAACCAAACCATGGCATGAATGTTCCTTATGAGGTGTTGACCAAGTGTTGTTACTTTGAAGCCGATTAGTCATCCAAGATGGCCGCCAGAGAGGGACTTAGTTTAACATAGGACCCTATGGGAAATACATGCAAATGTCTTCTTTTAAAGAACCACTGAATGGAATGAAACCAAACATAGGATAAATGTTCCTTATGATCTGCTGACCAAGTGTTGATACTTTGAAGCCGATCCATCATCCGAGATGACCACCAGAGAGGGACTTAGTTTAACATAGGACCCTATGGACAATACATAAAATGTCTTCTTTCAGAGAACCACTGAATGGAATGAAACCAAACATGGCATAAATTTTCCTTATGAGGTGCTGACCAAGTGTTGTTACTTTGTAGCCATGCAATCATCCAAGATGGCTACCAGAGGGGAACTTAGTTTAACAAAGGACCCTAGCTATGTGAAATACATACAAAAGTCTTCTTTTGAATTAAGAACCACTGAATGGAATTAAACCAAACATGGCATGAATGTTCCTTATGAGGTACTGACCAAGTGTTGTTACTTTGTAGCAAATCCATCAACCAAGATGGATGCCAGCAGGGGGACTTAGTTTAACAAAGGACCCTATGGGAAATATATACAAATGTCTTCTTCTAGAAAACCTCTTAATGGATTGAAACCAAACATGGTATGAATGTTTCTTTAGAGGTGCTCACCAAGTGTTGTTACTTTGTAGCTGATTTGTCATCCAAGATGGCTGCCAGCAGGGGGAGTAAGTTTAACATAGGACCCTATGGGAAATACATACAAATGTTTTCTTCTAGAGAACCACTGAATAGAATGAAACCAAACATGGCATGAATGTTCCTTAAATGAGGTGCTGACTAAGTGTTGTTACTTTGTAGCCGAACCATCCTTCAAGATGGCTGCCAGCAGGGGACTTAGTTTAACATAAGACCCTATGGGAAATAGTCATACCCCAAGATTTTTTATTTAATTACGGGGCCAATATTAAACCAAATTTGGCCTCAATCATCATAAGGGTATCCATTATGATTTCCAAAACCAAAGTAGAATCAGGTGAGCGACACAGGCTCTTGAGAGCCTCTAGTTTGTTTTAGTTCTTTTTTTTAATTTTTTAATTGTTTTCTTATGCCATTTTTTCCTTTTTTCAGATGAAAAAAATTTCTCCTTCGATATTATTTCATTATTTAATTAATTATAACCTTTTTCTCATTCTGAATCAGTATTAAGGTCTGCAGTAATGCTTTTAGAAATTTAAAATATTATTTTTATTCCTCTAAATTTCCAGTTTATTAATTATGAGATAATGAAATATTATCTCTTTTGGTTGGCTTTTTAATGATCGTGAAAAACTTTGTTTTTGGCTCCACAAAGTTTTGGTCTCTGGCAATCTTAATGAAGGTTATTCCACTAACCAGTTGGCTACACTGAAAATTGTAACATCCATTCATTTAAGTTTATGAAATATTTTAATTTCTTTAAAAAATTATACTTGTCCCTCCATGTCTAGTACTTCATTTAAAAATCTTTTTATTTTTTGAAGTATCAACACTAACCTGGGGGGTTTACTAACATGATACTTCCTAAATAGGTTGTTAGGTATTAGTGGCGTGATAGATGGCGCAAGGGAGAGAGAGATTGATGTATGACATTCTAATAAGGGTTTGGGGTACTAATCAGATGGAGGGATATGGTTGCTTTGTATTTATTAAGTACGTGTGCACAATAAAATTTATTGGGCTGAGACTTACTGTCGTTAGTAAATAACTTTCAAAAAAAAAGAAAGTGCCATAAATTTAGTCTAACATGATTATAACTTCAGATAAATATGTACCTAATACCTAAAATTCAGAATGGGACAGTTAAATAAGGAATCTCTTTGGGGTGATGAAATGTAAAACTCAGACCGAATTTCACGTTTAGAATTTTTTTTTTAAATTTGTTCTTTGCATTTCGATTGACCATTATTATAATATTCAAATTTCAATTTAATGGGGAACAGTTAATGCCCACCTTCCTTTTAAACTCAGTTTATCACCAATTTAATGTCCTATTTTTGTAACACAGTTGACATTTCTATAGGAACCAACTACTGTAAACCAACTTATTTTATGGACATTTTATTTGTGTTGCGCCATTCCTCTTATATTTCACAGCTGATATTTTTTTTGGCGTAGCAACATTTCATATTTCGCAGCTGATATTTTTTTTCGCGTATCGCCATTTCTATCATATTTCACATAGGAATTTTTCCACGTATATATAAAAAAGAAGATTTGGTATGATTGCCCATGAGACAATTTGTGTTGCGCCATTCCTCTTATATTTCACAGCTGATATTTTTTTTTGGCGTAGCAACATTTCTTTCATATTTCGCAGCTGATATTTTTTTTCGCGTATCACCATTTCTATCATATTTCACATAGGAGTTTTTCCACGTATATATAAAAAAGAAGATTTGGTATGATTGCCAATGAGACAACTCTCCACAAGAGACTAAATGACACAGAAATTAACAGCTATACATTGTAGGTAACTGTACGGCCCTCAACGATGAGCAAAGCCCCAACCGTATAGTCAGTTTTAAAATGCCAAGAAATCACATATGTAAAACAATTCAAAAAAAAAAACTTAACGACCATATAGACATTTCTTTCATAATTTGCAGCTGATAATTTTTTTCGCGTATCGCCATTTCTCTCATATTTCACATAGGATTTTTTCTGCTTACATGTATATATAAAAAAAGAAGATGTGGTATGATTGCCAATGAGACAACTCTCCACAAGAGACTAAATGACACAGAAATTAACAGCTATAGATAACTGTACGGCCCTCAACGATGAGCTAAGCCCAAACCACATAGTCAGCTATAAAAGGCCCAGAAATCACAAATGTAAAACAATTCAAACGAAAAGACTTAACAACCATATAGCCATTTTTAGCATATTTCACATGGATATGTTTCGTGATTATCTACCTCTTCGGGTTATTTCATACAACAGACAATTCTATTTTGAAATTCTCGTGATTTATATTCGGCTTCTTTTCTTTCAAGTCTATTAAATAAATTGTCCAAAAAATGAGTTGGTTCACAGTATGCTCCTCTTCTAGTCTTGGTCATCCCCCTGTAGCAGTCTCAATAATCCTTTATTCCCCGCCCCAGCTGAGTCAAAGGTAGAGACTTCAAAACTGGTATTGCTATATTCCTTCACTACCCAAAAAAACCTAAAGAGAAAGAGCAAAGACAAGTTGGCTTTGAAGAAAAACTAGATCTTTTTCTTAAGGAGTCTTTATCTTATCTAGTGAATTGTTCTAAAAATGACTCAGCATATGTATAAAAGGATTTGTGGGATAATTAACGTCAATGAGACAGCATTTACTTACCAACAACAAAATATGGCCAAGACACATAATAATTAGGTTAACATACTGTCTTCAACAATAAAATGCTGTTCTAGAATACAAATATGGAGATGTGATATGATTGCCAATAGACAAACTCTTCATCAAGACCAAATGACAGAGATTGATACAGGGTCTTTAACAATGGAGCAATGACCTAATATTTCATATTCAAATCACATTTACATATAAACATCAGATGTGGTATGATTGCCATTGGGACAAGTATGCTGCTGGTTTTAGATATCCACCCTATCGTTCATTTTTACATATGAAGTAGACTTGATTCAGGGGCTTCTTGGGGAAGACAGAGGAACTTGCATTGTACTTTTACTTCACTTTTATTTCCCAATTTAGGCATTTCTTTTTTCAAAGTTTGTTGACATTATTGATTCGATCCTTCTGTAATTCCTACATAGCTAGTTATAAGGAGCATCCGATACAGGAACTGGCTCATAGCTTGACCTTAGCCTGGGGGTTGTTGGTGAGGTCAGTTGGGAACTATAAAAAATTACAACAAAGGAGACTTCTTTTTTCTGATTGTGAACCGTCTATTACTATGTAGCATGAATCCAGGTATACTTGTATATATGGATTTTGTATCACCATGTTGATTATTCCACTCTTTGCATGTGCTGTAGGACATTTTTCCTTAATAAAATGTTTGCTGTTTTTAAAGGATATCACTGAACCAAGGGTTGTTAATGATAAAAGTTGTAAACATAATTACAAGAACATGTGGTATGATTGCCAATGAGACAACTCTCCACAAGAGACCAAAATGAATAAAGATAACAACAGTATACTGCTGTTCAGAAGTCATAAATCGATTGAGAGAAAAATTAACAAATCTGGGTAACAAAACTAATACTGAGGGAAACATATCAACTACAAGAGGAAAACAACAGAAACACTGAAGTGCAACAAAAATAAACACTAATGGAACATGCATAGAAAAGACAAAAATGACATAGCAATTAACAACTATAAGTTACCGTACGACCTTCAATAATGAGCAAAAGCACCAACCCTCCCTTTACTTTTGACATTTGATCTTTTTATTATCTAGAGCTCTGTTAAAAAAAAATATGAAAAAAATTTTTTAAAAATAAATACCAAAAATTAAATGAAAACAAAATTGTTAACAGATTTTTAGCTAATAAACATGGAGGGTGGTGAAAAAAGTGGGATTATTTTAGATATTATTTATTCACCCGCTGTACATTCATTCCAAAATTGGTCTCCATTCTAACTTTAGCTTGACTGGACCTTATGTTATAAAATGTGTACACAACGATTAATTTACTACAAAATGTAGATCACGTTTAAATTTGGTTGTCGTCACTTTTACCTTTGTAAATGTGAAATTTTTCAACAATGAGCATAGTCGGCTATGAAAGGCCCTGAAATTACAGCTATAAAACAATTAAAACGAGAAAGCAAAATAATGAACAAAAAACAAACATGATATATAGCATGGACAAATGACAATTGCTGAATTTCTGGCTCCTGACGTGGGACAGCCATATACAGAACAAGGGGTTAGGGGTTAAACTAGTTTTAAGGTTCCAGTACCCTCCCTCCCCTTACCTGAGACAGTTGTGAAACAGTACAACATAACAAACTATTAAAATCAGTTCAAGATGGCTAATAACTCATCAGATTGATACAAAGCAGAAATACATCTAACATTATTAATACACAAAACTGACCGGAAGGAGAAGGGTACTTGTACATTCTCGCAACAACAAAAAAACACTACCGTGTACAGATCTGATAAGAGTACAAGCTTTAAGTAGTTGCTGACAGTTAGTTCAAAGACAATAACAACTAATAAAAAAATTATGCATCTAAGACTAAAATATCAATCAGTACACATCCACACCAATGGATTTAGTGTAAAGACATCATTAACAGTTGGAGAAAACCATGACCTTGTTGTGCATGTTCATTTCTTTGTATGATTTATACATGATTAACCAAAATTCTAGAAATAAAAAAATTATTCAAATATTAAATCCTTATAATGGTGTATGATAGATACAAATATAAGTTTGTAAATTATTTATAAGCATCTAAGACAAAAGTTTGATCTTTTTTTAATTTCTGTATTTTACTGATAAATAGACTCTCTATTTTTAAATTCTATATTACACTGACAGCAGCTATAGCAGGCAATACATTAGGTTCCACACAACTCCTTGTGAAATTTTTAATCTTTGACATGAAATCAAACCGACTAATTCAAATGGTACTATACCATTGCATGTTTTTGTCTGTATTTATGAGTACATCATGTGATATGATCATCTGCAGACTTTTTTTTTATATTTATGTGTACATCATTTGATATAAACATCTGCAGACTTCTGAGGCCATATTCTCAAGATTTAATTTGATGGTATCTAGTCTAAAATTTATACAAATGTTTTACTTTTTTTGGGAATCAAGGCATTGTTCATTGTTTCTTTTTGACTTTTTATACGTCCGTCCGTTTAAGGGACGTATTATAGTATACCGTTGACAGTCTGTCCGTCCGTCCGTCCATCTGTCTGTCTGTCTGTCTGTACCTCCGTCTTCGACATTAATTCAAAAACACTTTCACCAATTTGCATGAAACTTTGGTGAATTGTTTATATCTATTGACGTGAGCACTCAGTCAACAAAACTGTTATTTAAGGAAATATGAATATTTTTTAACCAAAAATGATCAGAAAACATTTGAGAAATTCATTTTGAAATTATTTCAACAAAATCTCTCCAGACAGTGATTTTTGAGGCTAAAGTATTGGAAAGTCAAGAACCCAATACGATCATTTAAGAACTTTAAACCAAAAATATAGAAAAAACCTTGACCGAGATTCAGAACTATGCACTACGGAATAGTTCCTATGTGTAGGGACAGTGCCACTCTGCACGTTAAAGAACCCAATGCCACAAGTCTTTGATGGGTCAGTAGGTGGCCTGTTGCAAGGCTTAATTTCTGGCCAACATATCCTCCTCTCAGTTGGCAGTCAAAATTTCCCTTACCTTTGTCATCGGCCCACTTTATAGAACCTACAAATTGATTTGTTATGAAATGAACAGATGTGAGACATTACTATCCTACAGAGACCAAATGATGTTGATGTAAAATAGGTTACTGTATGGACTTCAACAAATTGAGAAAATCAACTAACATTAAAATTTTGCAATATTCTGAATTAGAATGACTTTGTTAATACCTGTAACCTTAAACATCTGATATTTTTATTATCTAGAGCTCTGTAAAAAAATATAAAAAAAAAATATAAAAAATGAAAATACCAAAAAATGATATGAAAACAAAACTGTTTGTAAAGAGAGTTCTAGATAATAAACATTGAGGGTGGTGTAAAAGGTGGGATTATTGTAATATTTTTTATGACCCCCGCTTTAAAGTCTTCTAAAGTAATCGTGTTTAAAATAAACAAAAATTGGAATGGCAATTTAAATAGTATAGTTCCTATGTGTAGGGACAGTGCCACTCTGCACGTTAAAGAACCCTTGCCACAAGTCTTTGAGGGGTCAGTAGGTGGCCTGTTGCAAGGCTTAATTTCTGTCCAACATATCCTCCTCTCAGTTGGCAGTCAAAATTTCCCTTACCTTCATCATCGGCCCACTTTATAGAACCTACAAATTGATTTGTTATGAAATGAAGAGATGCGAGACATTACTATTCTACAGAGACCAAATGATGTTGCATGTTACTGTATGGACTTCAACAATGAGAAAATTAAACAACATTAAAATTTTGCAATATTCTGAATTAGAATGACTTTGTTAATACCTGTAACCTTAAACATCTGATATTTTTATTATCTAGAGCTCTGTAAAAAAATATAAAAAAAAAATATAAAAAATGAAAATACCAAAAAATGATATGAAAACAAAACTGTTTGTAAACAGAGTTCTAGATAATAAACATTGAGGGTGGTGTAAAAGGTGGGATTATTGTAATATTTTTTATGACCCCCGCCTTAAAGTCTTCTAACCCCCAAGGGTGACTGGGGAATAGAAGTATGGTCACCATTGGTCTTCCTCCGACCGGCAGTAAAACCCTTGCTAAAGTGGGGCGTCCGTTTGGCTGTGCGGGATATTCAAATTTACAGCCACGTCCGGTAAGAATGAAGACTTTAAATCCTATGCCTCATGTAAAGAGAGTGCCTCGCTCTTTGCACGTTAAGAACCCTTGCAACAACTCTTTGAGGGGTCCGTAGGTGACCTGTTGCAAATCTAAATTTCTGTTCCTATCCAATATAACTTCATTTCCCGTGGCAGTCTAAATTTCTCTGACCTTAATCCAGGAAGCCCCTATTACAGAACCTACCTATTGTACTTATTGTTAACTTGTTCTTGTCCTGAATATGTATGAAATATTTGCCACTGGATGTTAAGCAACCAACAATCAACAACAATCAATTAAAGTCTTCTAAAGTTATCATGTTTAAAACAAACAAAAATTGGAATGGCAATTTAGAAAGTATAGTTTCTATGTGTAGGGACAGTGCCACTCTGCATGTTAAAGAACCCTTGCCACAAGTCTTTGAGGGGTCAGTAGGTGGCCTGTTGCAAGGCTTAATTTCTGCCCAACATATCGTCTTCTCAGTTGGGAGTCAAAATTTCCCTTACCTTCATCATCGGCCCACTTTATAGAACCTACAAATTGATTTGTTATGAAAAGAAGAGATGTGAGACATTACTATCCTACAGAGACCAAATGATGTTGATGTAAAAAAGGTTACTGTATGGACTTCAACAATGAGAAAATCAACCAACATTAAAATTTTGCAATATTCTGAATTAGAATGACTTTGTTAATACCTGTAACCTTAAACATCTGATATTTTTATTATCAAGAGCTCTGTAAAAAAATATAAAAAAAAAATATAAAAAATGAAAATACCAAAAAATGATATGAAAACAAAACTCTGTAAAAAAATATAAAAAAAAAATATAAAAAATGAAAATACCAAAAAATGATATGAAAACAAAACTGTTTGTAAAGAGAGTTCTAGATAATAAACATTGAGGGTGGTGTAAAAGGTGGGATTATTGTAATATTTTTTATGACCCCGCCTTAAAGTCTTCTAAAATTATCATTTTTAAAACAAACAAAAAATTGGAATGGCAATTTAAAAAGTATATAGTTCCTATGTGTAGGGACAGTGCCACTCTGCATGTTAAAGAACCCTTGCCACAAGTCTTTGAGGGGTCAGTAGGTGGCCTGTTGCAAGGCTTAATTTCTGTCCAACATATCCTCCTCTCAGTTGGCAGTCAAAATTTCCCTTACCTTCATCATCGGCCCACTTTATAGAACCTACAAATTGATTTGTTATGAAAAGAAGAGATGTGAGACATTACTGTCCTACAGAGACCAAATGATGTTGATGTAAAATAGGTTACTGTATGGACTTCAACAAATTGAGAAAATCAACTAACATTAAAATTTTGCAATATTCTGAATTAGAATGACTTTGTTAATACCTGTCACCTTAAACATCTGATATTTTTATAATCAAGAGCTCTGTAAAAAAATATAAAAAAAAAATATAAAAAATGAAAATACCAAAAAATGATATGAAAACAAAACTCTGTAAAAAAATATAAAAAAAAAATATAAAAAATGAAAATACCAAAAAATGATATGAAAACAAAACTGTTTGTAAAGAGAGTTCTAGATAATAAACATTGAGGGTGGTGTAAAAGGTGGGATTATTGTAATATTTTTTATGACCCCGCCTTAAAGTCTTCTAAAATTATCATTTTTAAAACAAACAAAAAATTGGAATGGCAATTTAAAAAGTATATAGTTCCTATGTGTAGGGACAGTGCCACTCTGCATGTTAAAGAACCCTTGCCACAAGTCTTTGAGGGGTCAGTAGGTGGCCTGTTGCAAGGCTTAATTTCTGTCCAACATATCCTCCTCTCAGTTGGCAGTCAAAATTTCCCTTACCTTCATCATCGGCCCACTTTATAGAACCTACAAATTGATTTGTTATGAAAAGAAGAGATGTGAGACATTACTGTCCTACAGAGACCAAATGATGTTGATGTAAAATAGGTTACTGTATGGACTTCAACAAATTGAGAAAATCAACTAACATTAAAATTTTGCAATATTCTGAATTAGAATGACTTTGTTAATACCTGTAACCTTAAACATCTGATATTTTTATAATCAAGAGCTCTGTAAAAAAATATAAAAAAAAAATATAAAAAATGAAAATACCAAAAAATGATATGAAAACAAAACTCTGTAAAAAAATATAAAAAAAAAATATAAAAAATGAAAATACCAAAAAATGATATGAAAACAAAACTGTTTGTAAAGAGAGTTCTAGATAATAAACATTGAGGGTGGTGTAAAAGGTGGGATTATTGTAATATTTTTTATGACCCCGCCTTAAAGTCTTCTAAAATTATCATTTTTAAAACAAACAAAAAATTGGAATGGCAATTTAAAAAGTATATAGTTCCTATGTGTAGGGACAGTGCCACTCTGCATGTTAAAGAACCCTTGCCACAAGTCTTTGAGGGGTCAGTAGGTGGCCTGTTGCAAGGCTTAATTTCTGTCCAACATATCCTCCTCTCAGTTGGCAGTCAAAATTTCCCTTACCTTCATCATCGGCCCACTTTATAGAACCTACAAATTGATTTGTTATGAAAAGAAGAGATGTGAGACATTACTGTCCTACAGAGACCAAATGATGTTGATGTAAAATAGGTTACTGTATTGACTTCAACAAATTGAGAAAATCAACTAACATTAAAATTTTGCAATATTCTGAATTAGAATGATATTATCTAGAGCTCTGTAAAAAAATATAAAAAAAAAATATAAAAAATGAAAATACCAAAAAATGATATGAAAACAAAACTCTGTAAAAAAATATAAAAAAAAAATATAAAAAATGAAAATACCAAGAAATGATATGAAAACAAAACTGTTTGTAAAGAGAGTTCTAGATAATAAACATTGAGGGTGGTGTAAAAGGTGGGATTATTGTAATATTTTTTATGACCCCCGCCTTAAAGTCTTCTAACCCCCAAGGGTGACTGGGGAATAGAAGTATGGTCACCATTGGTCTTCCTCCGACCGGCAGTAAAACCCTTGCTAAAGTGGGGCGTCCGTTTGGCTGTGCGGGATATTCAAATTTACAGCCACGTCCGGTAAGAATGAGGACTTTAAATCCTATGCCTCATGTAAAGAGAGTGCCTCGCTCTTTGCACGTTAAGAACCCTTGCAACAACTCTTTGAGGGGTCCGTAGGTGACCTGTTGCAAATCTAAATTTCTGTTCCTATCCAATATAACTTCATTTCCCGTGGCAGTCTAAATTTCTCTGACCTTAATCCAGGAAGCCCCTATTACAGAACCTACCTATTGTACTTATTGTTAACTTGTTCTTGTCCTGAATATGTATGAAATATTTGCCACTGGATGTTAAGCAACCAACAATCAACAACAATCAATTAAAGTCTTCTAAAGTTATCATGTTTAAAACAAACAAAAATTGGAATGGCAATTTAGAAAGAATAGTTTCTATGTGTAGGGACAGTGCCACTCTGCATGTTAAAGAACCCTTGCCACAAGTCTTTGAGGGGTCAGTAGGTGGCCTGTTGCAAGGCTTAATTTCTGTCCAACATATCCTCCTCTCAGTTGGCAGTCAAAATTTCCCTTACCTTCATCATCGGCCCACTTTATAGAACCTACAAATTGATTTGTTATGAAAAGAAGAGATGTGAGACATTACTGTCCTACAGAGACCAAATGATGTTGATGTAAAATAGGTTACTGTATGGACTTCAACAAATTGAGAAAATCAACTAACATTAAAATTTTGCAATATTCTGAATTAGAATGACTTTGTTAATACCTGTAACCTTAAACATCTGATATTTTTATAATCAAGAGCTCTGTAAAAAAATATAAAAAAAAAATATAAAAAATGAAAATACCAAAAAATGATATGAAAACAAAACTCTGTAAAAAAATATAAAAAAAAAATATAAAAAATGAAAATACCAAAAAATGATATGAAAACAAAACTCTGTAAAAAAATATAAAAAAAAAATATAAAAAATGAAAATACCAAAAAATGATATGAAAACAAAACTGTTTGTAAAGAGAGTTCTAGATAATAAACATTGAGGGTGGTGTAAAAGGTGGGATTATTGTAATATTTTTTATGACCCCGCCTTAAAGTCTTCTAAAATTATCATTTTTAAAACAAACAAAAAATTGGAATGGCAATTTAAAAAGTATATAGTTCCTATGTGTAGGGACAGTGCCACTCTGCATGTTAAAGAACCCTTGCCACAAGTCTTTGAGGGGTCAGTAGGTGGCCTGTTGCAAGGCTTAATTTCTGTCCAACATATCCTCCTCTCAGTTGGCAGTCAAAATTTCCCTTACCTTCATCATCGGCCCACTTTATAGAACCTACAAATTGATTTGTTATGAAAAGAAGAGATGTGAGACATTACTGTCCTACAGAGACCAAATGATGTTGATGTAAAATAGGTTACTGTATGGACTTCAACAAATTGAGAAAATCAACTAACATTAAAATTTTGCAATATTCTGAATTAGAATGATATTATCTAGAGCTCTGTAAAAAAATATAAAAAAAAAATATAAAAAATGAAAATACCAAAAAATGATATGAAAACAAAACTCTGTAAAAAAATATAAAAAAAAATATAAAAAATGAAAATACCAAAAAATGATATGAAAACAAAACTGTTTGTAAAGAGAGTTCTAGATAATAAACATTGAGGGTGGTGTAAAAGGTGGGATTATTGTAATATTTTTTATGACCCCGCCTTAAAGTCTTCTAAAATTATCATTTTTAAAACAAACAAAAAATTGGAATGGCAATTTAAAAAGTATATAGTTCCTATGTGTAGGGACAGTGCCACTCTGCATGTTAAAGAACCCTTGCCACAAGCACTACAAACCAGTAAAAGTCTGAAATGGCCTATATTTGTACTCGACTGAACTGATTTTTACTCGACCAGTCTGAATTGGTCTGAAATTTACTTGATATTACTCGACTGTAGTCTGAACCATACTAAACAGTCTGAACTTGTACTCGACCAGTACTTAACCATTTTATACGAGTCTGAACCATACTCGACATAGTCTTAACCATTCTCGACCAAGTCTGAACCATGCTCGACCTAGTCTGAATCATACTCGACCTAGTCTGAACCATACTTGACCAAGTCTTAACCAACCTAGACCTATTTTTTGTATCTATCTATATTATTTTTTCATTATTTAGGAACTGTTATTCATATATATATATATATAAAATGTATATCACATTTAAAATTAAAATAAAACAAGGTGATCAATTTCTGGTTGGATTAAAAAAATATCATGTAATAAATTAAGTTCGTTAAATGAATTTTCATATACATGATATCATGTTCACATTGATTTATGCATCAAAAATACTATAACTTTCAACCATTATTCAAATATCTTAAATGTTATTCAATTTTTTTTTTATCAAAATATATATAAAATAGTATATAAAGCAACTTAATAAATGTTAGAATTGACACCTTTGTTTTGTAAAATCAAAAATTTAATATAATAATAATAATAAAACTTTCATCTTTTTATCCTTGATAACCTTTTAAAAAAGGAAATGTATTCCAAAGTTGCAGTAGAAATTTATTTTAATTAAATTTAAATACGTTTTGTCAAAATTAAAGACATGGCATACAAGAAGCAGTTTAATAAGGTTTAATGGTTTAATTACCTCAGTACAGGTGTTTTACAGGTAAAAAGAAAACCATATTTTTCTTAAACTCGTGTATTACTTATCTAGTGAATTCAAAGGCCTTGTTATTTAAGTTTTACAGGATGTTGTAATTTTCAATGGATGTTATTTAAAATTTATTACTCTCTGACCAGGTGTGATCTTTTTAATCAGTGTGCGTCAAGCAGGATGTATAACTTTATAGTTTACCCCTAATCAGAAGAAAAATTTTATTCATTTCTTGAATTTTTATCCCTTTTAAAATATATATATATCCCAAATTATAAATAGGAATAGATATATTTCTGATATAAGGTTAAACAATGTCAGTGATTTTGTTGGCTGTTGTTACCTCATTAAAAAGATAGTTATATAACTATTGTATATAACCATGAAACCTAAGTACAGAAAGTCACAGGACAAAAAGTCACAGGACAGAAAGTCACAAATTTGATAGGACAAAAAGTCACAAATAATTTGTATACAATTGATTGAATATTTATGAGAAAGATCATGAAATGGTTACTTTTTATGACACATATTCATTTTACAGTTTAGGAAATTGTTCATAAGACCTAATTTGATAAATAAAGATTTATAAAATTTTAATCATGCAAAGGATATATTTCTTGGCACCATGAAGCCATTTAAGTACCAAGACATTGTAACATTTTGTTTTCTTAACAATTATTTGATCATTATTGATATTGTTTCAAGAAAAATACAAAAATGTTTTTTTTTTAAAATAAGTGTTCTATTGTTCAAAGAAAAATAACCTCAAAACTGAATTGTGACTTTTTGTCCTGTGACTTTCTGTCCTACATTCGTTTTTATTTAGGAATTTAGGAAAATCAAGTTTTGTTTAAAAAAAAAAACACATGCCAAACAAAAAGCACCTTATTTTTATTACCCTCAGTATAGGTGTGGTTTTCAGGTAAAAAAAAGTCTTTTATTTAACAAGACTCAGACTTTAAAATTAGATAATTTAACTATCTTGATTTGCCAAATCTAAGAGAATCATGTATTATTAAAGAATGTAAAAAATGTTTTTATATATATCTTTATTTAATTGTGGCTGTTGTCATGTAAGTTAAAGAGAAAGTTATTTAAACAATCAAAATTATAAAGAAGAGGTTATTTGGTCAAGTATGGTTCAGACTGGTCGAGTATTGTTCAGACCTTTGGTCGAGTATGGTTCAGACTGAAAAAATAGGTCGAGAGCTGGTCGAGTACTGGTCCAGACTGGGTTAAGACTGTTTCAGACTGGTCGAGTAATAGTTTAGACTATTTTCAATAGCAAAGATAAGGGTCAAGTACAAATCAGTACAGTCGAGTATGGTTAAGACTGGGTCGAGTAATATTAAGTAAAATTCAGACCAATTCAGACTGGTCGAGTAAAAATCAGTACAGTCGAGTACAGATATAGGCCATTTCAGACTTTTACTGGTTTGTAGTGAAGTCTTTGAGGGGTCAGTAGGTGGCCTGTTGCAAGGCTTAATTTCTGTCCAACATATCCTCCTCTCAGTTGGCAGTCAAAATTTCCCTTACCTTCATCATCGGCCCACTTTATAGAACCTACAAATTGATTTGTTATGAAAAGAAGAGATGTGAGACATTACTGTCCTACAGAGACCAAATGATGTTGATGTAAAATAGGTTACTGTATGGACTTCAACAAATTGAGAAAATCAACTAAAATTAAAATTTTGCAATATTCTGAATTAGAATGACTTTGTTAATACCTGTCACCTTAAACATCTGATATTTTTATAATCAAGAGCTCTGTAAAAAAATATAAAAAAAAAATATAAAAAATGAAAATACCAAAAAATGATATGAAAACAAAACTCTGTAAAAAAATATAAAAAAAAAATATAAAAAATGAAAATACCAAAAAATGATATGAAAACAAAACTGTTTGTAAAGAGAGTTCTAGATAATAAACATTGAGGGTGGTGTAAAAGGTGGGATTATTGTAATATTTGTTATGACCCCGCCTTAAAGTCTTCTAAAATTATCATTTTTAAAACAAACAAAAAATTGGAATGGCAATTTAAAAAGTATATAGTTCCTATGTGTAGGGACAGTGCCACTCTGCATGTTAAAGAACCCTTGCCACAAGTCTTTGAGGGGTCAGTAGGTGGCCTGTTGCAAGGCTTAATTTCTGTCCAACATATCCTCCTCTCAGTTGGCAGTCAAAATTTCCCTTACCTTCATCATCGGCCCACTTTATAGAACCTACAAATTGATTTGTTATGAAAAGAAGAGATGTGAGACATTACTGTCCTACAGAGACCAAATGATGTTGATGTAAAATAGGTTACTGTATGGACTTCAACAAATTGAGAAAATCAACTAACATTAAAATTTTGCAATATTCTGAATTAGAATGATATTATCTAGAGCTCTGTAAAAAAATATAAAAAAAAAATATAAAAAATGAAAATACCAAAAAATGATATGAAAACAAAACTCTGTAAAAAAATATAAAAAAAAAATATAAAAAATGAAAATACCAAGAAATGATATGAAAACAAAACTGTTTGTAAAGAGAGTTCTAGATAATAAACATTGAGGGTGGTGTAAAAGGTGGGATTATTGTAATATTTTTTATGACCCCCGCCTTAAAGTCTTCTAACCCCCAAGGGTGACTGGGGAATAGAAGTATGGTCACCATTGGTCTTCCTCCGACCGGCAGTAAAACCCTTGCTAAAGTGGGGCGTCCGTTTGGCTGTGCGGGATATTCAAATTTACAGCCACGTCCGGTAAGAATGAGGACTTTAAATCCTATGCCTCATGTAAAGAGAGTGCCTCGCTCTTTGCACGTTAAGAACCCTTGCAACAACTCTTTGAGGGGTCCGTAGGTGACCTGTTGCAAATCTAAATTTCTGTTCCTATCCAATATAACTTCATTTCCCGTGGCAGTCTAAATTTCTCTGACCTTAATCCAGGAAGCCCCTATTACAGAACCTACCTATTGTACTTATTGTTAACTTGTTCTTGTCCTGAATATGTATGAAATATTTGCCACTGGATGTTAAGCAACCAACTATCAACAACAATCAATTAAAGTCTTCTAAAGTTATCATGTTTAAAACAAACAAAAATTGGAATGGCAATTTAGAAAGAATAGTTTCTATGTGTAGGGACAGTGCCACTCTGCATGTTAAAGAACCCTTGCCACAAGTCTTTGAGGGGTCAGTAGGTGGCCTGTTGCAAGGCTTAATTTCTGTCCAACATATCCTTCTCTCAGTTGGCAGTCAAAATTTCCCTTACCTTCATCATCGGCCCACTTTATAGAACCTACAAATTGATTTGTTATGAAAAGAAGAGATGTGAGACATTACTGTCCTACAGAGACCAAATGATGTTGATGTAAAATAGGTTACTGTATGGACTTCAACAAATTGAGAAAATCAACTAACATTAAAATTTTGCAATATTCTGAATTAGAATGACTTTGTTAATACCTGTAACCTTAAACATCTGATATTTTTATAATCAAGAGCTCTGTAAAAAAATATAAAAAAAAAATATAAAAAATGAAAATACCAAAAAATGATATGAAAACAAAACTCTGTAAAAAAATATAAAAAAAAAATATAAAAAATGAAAATACCAAAAACAAAACTGTTTGTAAAGAGAGTTCTAGATAATAAACATCGAGGGTGGTGTAAAAGGTGGGATTATTGTAATATTTTTTATGACCCCCGCCTTAAAGTCTTCTAACCCCCAAGGGTGACTGGGGAATAGAAGTATGGTCACCATTGGTCTTCCTCCGACCGGCAGTAAAACCCTTGCTAAAGTGGGGCGTCCGTTTGGCTGTGAGGGATATTCAAATTTACAGCCACGTCCGGTAAGAATGAGGACTTTAAATCCTATGCCTCATGTAAAGAGAGTGCCTCGCTCTTTGCACGTTAAGAACCCTTGCAACAACTCTTTGAGGGGTCCGTAGGTGACCTGTTGCAAATCTAAATTTCTGTTCCTATCCAATATAACTTCATTTCCCGTGGCAGTCTAAATTTCTCTGACCTTAATCCAGGAAGCCCCTATTATAGAACCTACCTATTGTACTTATTGTTAACTTGTTCTTGTCCTGAATATGTATGAAATATTTGCCACTGGATGTTAAGCAACCAACAATCAACAACAATCAATTAAAGTCTTCTAAAGTTATCATGTTTAAAACAAACAAAAATTGGAATGGCAATTTAGAAAGTATAGTTTCTTTGTGTAGGGACAGTGCCACTCTGCATGTTAAAGAACCCTTGCCACAAGTCTTTGAGGGGTCAGTAGGTGGCCTGTTGCAAGGCTTAATTTCTGCCCAACATATCGTCTTCTCAGTTGGGAGTCAAAATTTCCCTTACCTTCATCATCGGCCCACTTTATAGAACCTACAAATTGATTTGTTATGAAAAGAAGAGATGTGAGACATTACTATCCTACAGAGACCAAATGATGTTGATGTAAAAAAGGTTACTGTATGGACTTCAACAATGAGAAAATCAACCAACATTAAAATTTTGCAATATTCTGAATTAGAATGACTTTGTTAATACCTGTAACCTTAAACATCTGATATTTTTATTATCAAGAGCTCTGTAAAAAAATATAAAAAATGAAAATACCAAAAAATGATATGAAAACAAAACTCTGTAAAAAAATATAAAAAAAAAATATAAAAAATGAAAATACCAAAAAATGATATGAAAACAAAACTGTTTGTAAAGAGAGTTCTAGATAATAAACATTGAGGGTGGTGTAAAAGGTGGGATTATTGTAATATTTTTTATGACCCCGCCTTAAAGTCTTCTAAAATTATCATTTTTAAAACAAACAAAAAATTGGAATGGCAATTTAAAAAGTATATAGTTCCTATGTGTAGGGACAGTGCCACTCTGCATGTTAAAGAACCCTTGCCACAAGTCTTTGAGGGGTCAGTAGGTGGCCTGTTGCAAGGCTTAATTTCTGTCCAACATATCCTCCTCTCAGTTGGCAGTCAAAATTTCCCTTACCTTCATCATCGGCCCACTTTATAGAACCTACAAATTGATTTGTTCTGAAAAGAAGAGATGTGAGACATTACTGTCCTACAGAGACCAAATGATGTTGATGTAAAATAGGTTACTGTATGGACTTCAACAAATTGAGAAAATCAACTAACATTAAAATTTTGCAATATTCTGAATTAGAATGACTTTGTTAATACCTGTAACCTTAAACATTTGATATTTTTATAATCAAGAGCTCTGTAAAAAAATATAAAAAAAAAATATAAAAAATGAAAATACCAAAAAATGATATGAAAACAAAACTGTTTGTAAAGAGAGTTCTAGATAATAAACATTGAGAGTGGTGTAAAAGGTGGGATTATTGTAATATTTTTTATGACACCGCCTTAAAGTCTTCTAAAATTATCATTTTTAAAACAAACAAAAAATTGGAATGGCAATTTAAAAAGTATATAGTTCCTATGTGTAGGGACAGTGCCACTCTGCATGTTAAAGAACCCTTGCCACAAGTCTTTGAGGGGTCAGTAGGTGGCCTGTTGCAAGGCTTAATTTCTGTCCAACATATCCTCCTCTCAGTTGGCAGTCAAAATTTCCCTTACCTTCATCATCGGCCCACTTTATAGAACCTACAAATTGATTTGTTATGAAAAGAAGAGATGTGAGGCATTACTGTCCTACAGAGACCAAATGATGTTGATGTAAAATAGGTTACTGTATGGACTTCAACAAATTGAGAAAATCAACTAACATTAAAATTTTGCAATATTCTGAATTAGAATGATATTATCTAGAGCTCTGTAAAAAAATATAAAAAAAAAATATAAAAAATGAAAATACCAAAAAATGATATGAAAACAAAACTCTGTAAAAAAATATAAAAAAAAAATATAAAAAATGAAAATACCAAAAAATGATATGAAAACAAAACTGTTTGTAAACAGAGTTCTAGATAATAAACATTGAGGGTGGTGTAAAAGGTGGGATTATTGTAATATTTTTTATGACCCCCGCCTTAAAGTCTTCTAACCCCCAAGGGTGACTGGGGAATAGAAGTATGGTCACCATTGGTCTTCCTCCGACCGGCAGTAAAACCCTTGCTAAAGTGGGGCGTCCTTTTGGCTGTGCGGGATATTCAAATTTACAGCCACGTCCGGTAAGAATGAGGACTTTAAATCCTATGCCTCATGTAAAGAGAGTGCCTCACTCTTTGCACGTTAAGAACCCTTGCAACAACTCTTTGAGGTCCGTAGGTGACCTGTTGCAAATCTAAATTTCTGTTCCTATCCAATATAACTTCATTTCCCGTGGCAGTCTAAATTTCTCTGACCTTAATCCAGGAAGCCCCTATTACAGAACCTACCTATTGTACTTATTGTTAACTTGTTCTTGTCCTGAATATGTATGAAATATTTGCCACTGGATGTTAAGCAACCAACAATCAACAACAATCAATTAAAGTCTTCTAAAGTTATCATGTTTAAAACAAACAAAAATTGGAATGGCAATTTAGAAAGTATAGTTTCTATGTGTAGGGACAGTGCCACTCTGCATGTTAAAGAACCCTTGCCACAAGTCTTTGAGGGGTCAGTAGGTGGCCTGTTGCAAGGCTTAATTTCTGCCCAACATATCGTCCTCTCAGTTGGGAGTCAAAATTTCCCTTACCTTCATCATCGGCCCACTTTATAGAACCTACAAATTGATTTGTTATGAAAAGAAGAGATGTGAGACATTACTGTCCTACAGAGACCAAATGATGTTGATGTAAAATAGGTTACTGTATGGACTTCAACAAATTGAGAAAATCAACTAACATTAAAATTTTGCAATATTCTGAATTAGAATGACTTTGTTAATACCTGTAACCTTAAACATCTGATATTTTTATAATCAAGAGCTCTGTAAAAAAATATAAAAAAAAAATATAAAAAATGAAAATACCAAAAAATGATATGAAAACAAAACTCTGTAAAAAAATATAAAAAAAAAATATAAAAAATGAAAATACCAAAAACAAAACTGTTTGTAAAGAGAGTTCTAGATAATAAACATCGAGGGTGGTGTAAAAGGTGGGATTATTGTAATATTTTTTATGACCCCCGCCTTAAAGTCTTCTAACCCCCAAGGGTGACTGGGGAATAGAAGTATGGTCACCATTGGTCTTCCTCCGACCGGCAGTAAAACCCTTGCTAAAGTGGGGCGTCCGTTTGGCTGTGAGGGATATTCAAATTTACAGCCACGTCCGGTAAGAATGAGGACTTTAAATCCTATGCCTCATGTAAAGAGAGTGCCTCGCTCTTTGCACGTTAAGAACCCTTGCAACAACTCTTTGAGGGGTCCGTAGGTGACCTGTTGCAAATCTAAATTTCTGTTCCTATCCAATATAACTTCATTTCCCGTGGCAGTCTAAATTTCTCTGACCTTAATCCAGGAAGCCCCTATTATAGAACCTACCTATTGTACTTATTGTTAACTTGTTCTTGTCCTGAATATGTATGAAATATTTGCCACTGGATGTTAAGCAACCAACAATCAACAACAATCAATTAAAGTCTTCTAAAGTTATCATGTTTAAAACAAACAAAAATTGGAATGGCAATTTAGAAAGTATAGTTTCTTTGTGTAGGGACAGTGCCACTCTGCATGTTAAAGAACCCTTGCCACAAGTCTTTGAGGGGTCAGTAGGTGGCCTGTTGCAAGGCTTAATTTCTGCCCAACATATCGTCTTCTCAGTTGGGAGTCAAAATTTCCCTTACCTTCATCATCGGCCCACTTTATAGAACCTACAAATTGATTTGTTATGAAAAGAAGAGATGTGAGACATTACTATCCTACAGAGACCAAATGATGTTGATGTAAAAAAGGTTACTGTATGGACTTCAACAATGAGAAAATCAACCAACATTAAAATTTTGCAATATTCTGAATTAGAATGACTTTGTTAATACCTGTAACCTTAAACATCTGATATTTTTATTATCAAGAGCTCTGTAAAAAAATATAAAAAATGAAAATACCAAAAAATGATATGAAAACAAAACTCTGTAAAAAAATATAAAAAAAAAATATAAAAAATGAAAATACCAAAAAATGATATGAAAACAAAACTGTTTGTAAAGAGAGTTCTAGATAATAAACATTGAGGGTGGTGTAAAAGGTGGGATTATTGTAATATTTTTTATGACCCCGCCTTAAAGTCTTCTAAAATTATCATTTTTAAAACAAACAAAAAATTGGAATGGCAATTTAAAAAGTATATAGTTCCTATGTGTAGGGACAGTGCCACTCTGCATGTTAAAGAACCCTTGCCACAAGTCTTTGAGGGGTCAGTAGGTGGCCTGTTGCAAGGCTTAATTTCTGTCCAACATATCCTCCTCTCAGTTGGCAGTCAAAATTTCCCTTACCTTCATCATCGGCCCACTTTATAGAACCTACAAATTGATTTGTTCTGAAAAGAAGAGATGTGAGACATTACTGTCCTACAGAGACCAAATGATGTTGATGTAAAATAGGTTACTGTATGGACTTCAACAAATTGAGAAAATCAACTAACATTAAAATTTTGCAATATTCTGAATTAGAATGACTTTGTTAATACCTGTAACCTTAAACATTTGATATTTTTATAATCAAGAGCTCTGTAAAAAAATATAAAAAAAAAATATAAAAAATGAAAATACCAAAAAATGATATGAAAACAAAACTGTTTGTAAAGAGAGTTCTAGATAATAAACATTGAGAGTGGTGTAAAAGGTGGGATTATTGTAATATTTTTTATGACACCGCCTTAAAGTCTTCTAAAATTATCATTTTTAAAACAAACAAAAAATTGGAATGGCAATTTAAAAAGTATATAGTTCCTATGTGTAGGGACAGTGCCACTCTGCATGTTAAAGAACCCTTGCCACAAGTCTTTGAGGGGTCAGTAGGTGGCCTGTTGCAAGGCTTAATTTCTGTCCAACATATCCTCCTCTCAGTTGGCAGTCAAAATTTCCCTTACCTTCATCATCGGCCCACTTTATAGAACCTACAAATTGATTTGTTATGAAAAGAAGAGATGTGAGGCATTACTGTCCTACAGAGACCAAATGATGTTGATGTAAAATAGGTTACTGTATGGACTTCAACAAATTGAGAAAATCAACTAACATTAAAATTTTGCAATATTCTGAATTAGAATGATATTATCTAGAGCTCTGTAAAAAAATATAAAAAAAAAATATAAAAAATGAAAATACCAAAAAATGATATGAAAACAAAACTCTGTAAAAAAATATAAAAAAAAAATATAAAAAATGAAAATACCAAAAAATGATATGAAAACAAAACTGTTTGTAAACAGAGTTCTAGATAATAAACATTGAGGGTGGTGTAAAAGGTGGGATTATTGTAATATTTTTTATGACCCCCGCCTTAAAGTCTTCTAACCCCCAAGGGTGACTGGGGAATAGAAGTATGGTCACCATTGGTCTTCCTCCGACCGGCAGTAAAACCCTTGCTAAAGTGGGGCGTCCTTTTGGCTGTGCGGGATATTCAAATTTACAGCCACGTCCGGTAAGAATGAGGACTTTAAATCCTATGCCTCATGTAAAGAGAGTGCCTCACTCTTTGCACGTTAAGAACCCTTGCAACAACTCTTTGAGGTCCGTAGGTGACCTGTTGCAAATCTAAATTTCTGTTCCTATCCAATATAACTTCATTTCCCGTGGCAGTCTAAATTTCTCTGACCTTAATCCAGGAAGCCCCTATTACAGAACCTACCTATTGTACTTATTGTTAACTTGTTCTTGTCCTGAATATGTATGAAATATTTGCCACTGGATGTTAAGCAACCAACAATCAACAACAATCAATTAAAGTCTTCTAAAGTTATCATGTTTAAAACAAACAAAAATTGGAATGGCAATTTAGAAAGTATAGTTTCTATGTGTAGGGACAGTGCCACTCTGCATGTTAAAGAACCCTTGCCACAAGTCTTTGAGGGGTCAGTAGGTGGCCTGTTGCAAGGCTTAATTTCTGCCCAACATATCGTCCTCTCAGTTGGGAGTCAAAATTTCCCTTACCTTCATCATCGGCCCACTTTATAGAACCTACAAATTGATTTGTTATGAAAAGGAGAGATGTGAGACATTACTGTCCTACAGAGACCAAATGATGTTGATGTAAAATAAGTTACTGTATGGACTTCAACAAATTGAGAAAATCAACTAACATTAAAATTTTGCAATATTCTGAATTAGAATGACTTTGTTAATACCTGTAACCTTAAACATCTGATATTTTTATTATCTAGAGCTCTGTAAAAAAATATAAAAAAAAAATATAAAAAATGAAAATACCAAAAAATGATATGAAAACAAAACTCTGTAAAAAAATATAAAAAAAAAATATAAAAAATGAAAATACCAAAAAATGATATGAAAACAAAACTGTTTGTAAACAGAGTTCTAGATAATAAACATTGAGGGTGGTGTAAAAGGTGGGATTATTGTAATATTTTTTATGACCCCCGCCTTAAAGTCTTCTAAAGTTATCATTTTTAAAACAAACAAAAAATTGGAATGGCAATTTAAAAAGTATATAGTTCCTATGTGTAGGGACAGTGCCACTCTGCATGTTAAAGAACCCTTGCCACAAGTCTTTGAGGGGTCAGTAGGTGGCCTGTTGCAAGGCTTAATTTCTGGCCAACATATCCTCCTCTCAGTTGGCAGTCAAAATTTCCCTTACCTTCGTCATCGGCCCACTTTATAAAACCTACAAATTGATTTGTTATGAAATGAAGAGATGCCAGACAACTATCCTACAGAGACCAAATGATGTTGATGTAAAAAAGGTTACTGTATGGACTTCAACAAATTGAGAAAATCAACTAACATTAAAATTTTGCAATATTCTGAATTAGAACGACTTTGTTAATACCTGTAACCTTAAACATCTGATATTTTTATTATCTAGAGCTCTGTAAAAAAATTAAAAAAAAATATATAAAAAATGAAAATACCAAAAAATGATATGAAAACAAAACTGTTTGTAAACAGAGTTCTAGATAATAAACATTGAGGGTGGTGTAAAAGGTGGGATTATTGTAATATTTTTTATGACCCCGCCTTAAAGTCTTCTAAAATTATCATTTTTAAAACAAACAAAAAATTGGAATGGCAATTTAAAAAGTATATAGTTCCTATGTGTAGGGACAGTGCCACTCTGCATGTTAAAGAATTCTTGCCACAAGTCTTTGAGGGGTCAGTAGGTGGCCTGTTGCAAGGCTTAATTTCTGGCCAACATATCCTCTCAGTTGGCAGTCAAAATTTCCCTTACCTTCATCATCGGCCCACTTTATAGAACCTACAAATTGATTTGTTATGAAAAGAAGAGATGTGAGACATTACTATCCTACATACAGAGACCAAATGATGTTGATGTAAAATAGGTTACTGTATGGACTTCAACAATGAGAAAATCAACTAACATTAAAATTTTGCAATATTCTGAATTAGAATGACTTTGTTAATACCTGTAACCTTAAACATCTGATATTTTTATTATCTAGAGCTCTGTAAAAAAATATAAAAAAAAAATATAAAAAATGAAAATACCAAAAAATGATATGAAAACAAAACTGTTTGTTAACAGAGTTCTAGATAATAAACATTGAGGGTGGTGTAAAAGGTGGGATTATTGTAATATTTTTTATGACCCCCGCCTTAAAGTCTTCTAAAGTTATCATTTTTAAAACAAACAAAAAATTGGAATGGCAATTTAAAAAGTATATAGTTCCTATGTGTAGGGACAGTGCCACTCTGCATGTTAAAGAACCCTTGCCACAAGTCTTTGAGGGGTCAGTAGGTGGCCTGTTGCAAGGCTTAATTTCTGGCCAACATATCCTCCTCTCAGTTGGCAGTCAAAATTTCCCTTACCTTCGTCATCGGCCCACTTTATAGAACCTACAAATTGATTTGTTATGAAATGAAGAGATGCCAGACAACTATCCTACAGAGACCAAATGATGTTGATGTAAAATAGGTTACTGTATGGACTTCAACAATGAGAAAATCAACTAACATTAAAATTTTGCAATATTCTGAATTAGAATGACTTTGTTAATACCTGTAACCTTAAACATCTGATATTTTTATTATCTAGAGCTCTGTAAAAAAATATAAAAAAAAAATATAAAAAATGAAAATACCAAAAAATGATATGAAAACAAAACTGTTTGTTAACAGAGTTCTAGATAATAAACATTGAGGGTGGTGTAAAAGGTGGGATTATTGTAATATTTTTTATGACCCCCGCCTTAAAGTCTTCTAAAGTTATCATTTTTAAAACAAACAAAAAATTGGAATGGTAATTTAAAAAGTATATAGTTCCTATGTGTAGGGACAGTGCCACTCTGCATGTTAAAGAACCCTTGCCACAAGTCTTTGAGGGGTCAGTAGGTGGCCTGTTGCAAGGCTTAATTTCTGCCCAACATATCGTTCTCTCAGTTGGGAGTCAAAATTTCCCTTACCTTCATCATCGGCCCACTTTATAGAACCTACAAATTGATTTGTTATGAAAAGAAGAGATGTGAGACATTACTGTCCTACAGAGACCAAATGATGTTGATGTAAAATAGGTTACTGTATGGACTTCAACAAATTGAGAAAATCAACTAACATTAAAATTTTGCAATATTCTGAATTAGAATGACTTTGTTAATACCTGTAACCTTAAACATCTGATATTTTTATTATCTAGAGCTCTGTAAAAAAATATAAAAAATGAAAATACCAAAAAATGATATGAAAACAAAACTCTGTAAAAAAATATAAAAAAAAAATATAAAAAATGAAAATACCAAAAAATGATATGAAAACAAAACTGTTTGTAAAGAGAGTTCTAGATAATAAACATTGAGGGTGGTGTAAAAGGTGGGATTATTGTAATATTTTTTATGACCTCCGCCTTAAAGTCTTCTAAAGTTATCATTTTTAAAACAAACAAAAAATTGGAATGGCAATTTAAAAAGTATATAGTTCCTATGTGTAGGGACAGTACCACTCTGCATGTTAAAGAACCCTTGCCACAAGTCTTTGAGGGGTCAGTAGGTGGCCTGTTGCAAGGCTTAATTTCTGGCCAACATATCGTCTTCTCAGTTGGCAGTCAAAATTTCCCTTACCTTCGTCATCGGCCCACTTTATAAAACCTACAAATTGATTTGTTATGAAATGAAGAGATGCCAGACAACTATCCTACAGAGACCAAATGATGTTGATGTAAAATAGGTTACTGTATGGACTTCAACAAATTGAGAAAATCAACTAACATTAAAATTTTGCAATATTCTGAATTAGAACGACTTTGTTAATACCTGTAACCTTAAACATCTGATATTTTTATTATCTAGAGCTCTGTAAAAAAATAAAAAAAAAAAATATAAAAAATGAAAATACCAAAAAATGATATGAAAACAAAACTGTTTGTAAACAGAGTTCTAGATAATAAACATTGAGGGTGGTGTAAAAGGTGGGATTATTGTAATATTTTTTATGACCCCGCCTTAAAGTCTTCTAAAATTATCATTTTTAAAACAAACAAAAAATTGGAATGGCAATTTAAAAAGTATATAGTTCCTATGTGTAGGGACAGTGCCACTCTGCATGTTAAAGAATTCTTGCCACAAGTCTTTGAGGGGTCAGTAGGTGGCCTGTTGCAAGGCTTAATTTCTGGCCAACATATCCTCTCAGTTGGGAGTCAAAATTTCCCTTACCTTCATCATCGGCCCACTTTATAGAACCTACAAATTGATTTGTTATGAAAAAAAGAGATGTGAGACATTACTATCCTACATACAGAGACCAAATGATGTTGATGTAAAATAGGTTACTGTATGGACTTCAACAATGAGAAAATCAACTAACATTAAAATTTTGCAATATTCTGAATTAGAACGACTTTGTTAATACCTGTAACCTTAAACATCTGATATTTTTATTATCTAGAGCTCTGTAAAAAAATATAAAAAAAAAATATAAAAAATGAAAATACCAAAAAATGATATGAAAACAAAACTGTTTGTTAACAGAGTTCTAGATTTTTTATGACCCCCGCCTTAAAGTCTTCTAAAGTTATCATTTTTAAAACAAACAAAAAATTGGAATGGCAATTTAAAAAGTATATAGTTCCTATGTGTAGGGACAGTGCCACTCTGCATGTTAAAGAACCCTTGCCACAAGTCTTTGAGGGGTCAGTAGGTGGCCTGTTGCAAGGCTTAATTTCTGGCCAACATATCCTCCTCTCAGTTGGCAGTCAAAATTTCCCTTACCTTCGTCATCGGCCCACTTTATAGAACCTACAAATTGATTTGTTATGAAATGAAGAGATGCCAGACAACTATCCTACAGAGACCAAATGATGTTGATGTAAAATAGGTTACTGTATGGACTTCAACAAATTGAGAAAATCAACTAACATTAAAATTTTGCAATATTCTGAATTAGAACGACTTTGTTAATACCTGTAACCTTAAACATCTGATATTTTTATTATCTAGAGCTCTGTAAAAAAATATAAAAAAAAAATATAAAAAATGAAAATACCAAAAAATGATATGAAAACAAAACTGTTTGTAAAGAGAGTTCTAGATAATAAACATTGAGGGTGGTGTAAAAGGTGGGATTATTGTAATATTTTTTATGACCCCGCCTTAAAGTCTTCTAAAATTATCATTTTTAAAACAAACAAAAAATTGGAATGGCAATTTAAAAAGTATATAGTTCCTATGTGTAGGGACAGTGCCACTCTGCATGTTAAAGAACCCTTGCCACAAGTCTTTGAGGGGTCAGTAGGTGGCCTGTTGCAAGGCTTAATTTCTGCCCAACATATCGTTCTCTCAGTTGGGAGTCAAAATTTCCCTTACCTTCATCATCGGCCCACTTTATAGAACCTACAAATTGATTTGTTATGAAAAGAAGAGATGTGAGACATTACTGTCCTACAGAGACCAAATGATGTTGATGTAAAATAGGTTACTGTATGGACTTCAACAAATTGAGAAAATCAACTAACATTAAAATTTTGCAATATTCTGAATTAGAATGACTTTGTTAATACCTGTAACCTTAAACATCTGATATTTTTATTATCTAGAGCTCTGTAAAAAAATATAAAAAAAAAATATAAAAAATGAAAATACCAAAAAATGATATGAAAACAAAACTCTGTAAAAAAATATAAAAGAAAAATATAAAAAATGAAAATACCAAAAAATGATATGAAAACAAAACTGTTTGTAAAGAGAGTTCTAGATAATAAACATTGAGGGTGGTGTAAAAGGTGGGATTATTGTAATATTTTTTATGACCTCCGCCTTAAAGTCTTCTAAAATTATCATTTTTAAAACAAACAAAAAATTGGAATGGCAATTTAAAAAGTATATAGTTCCTATGTGTAGGGACAGTGCCACTCTGCATGTTAAAGAATTCTTGCCACAAGTCTTTGAGGGTCAGTAGGTGGCCTGTTGCAAGGCTTAATTTCTGGCCAACATATCGTCTTCTCAGTTGGCAGTCAAAATTTCCCTTACCTTCGTCATCGGCCCACTTTATAGAACCTACAAATTGATTTGTTATGAAATGAAGAGATGCCAGACAACTATCCTACAGAGACCAAATGATGTTGATGTAAAATAGGTTACTGTATGGACTTCAACAAATTGAGAAAATCAACTAACATTAAAATTTTGCAATATTCTGAATTAGAACGACTTTGTTAATACCTGTAACCTTAAACATCTGATATTTTTATTATCTAGAGCTCTGTAAAAAAATATAAAAAAAAAATATAAAAAATGAAAATACCAAAAAATGATATGAAAACAAAACTGTTTGTAAAGAGAGTTCTAGATAATAAACATTGAGGGTGGTGTAAAAGGTGGGATTATTGTAATATTTTTTATGACCCCGCCTTAAAGTCTTCTAAAATTATCATTTTTAAAACAAAAAAAAAATTGGAATGGCAATTTAAAAAGTATATAGTTCCTATGTGTAGGGACAGTGCCACTCTGCATGTTAAAGAACCCTTGCCACAAGTCTTTGAGGGTCAGTAGGTGGCCTGTTGCAAGGCTTAATTTCTGGCCAACATATCGTCTTCTCAGTTGGCAGTCAAAATTTCCCTTACCTTCGTCATCGGCCCACTTTATAGAACCTACAAATTGATTTGTTATGAAATGAAGAGATGCGAGACAACTATCCTACAGAGACCAAATGATGTTGATGTAAAATAGGTTACTGTATGGACTTCAACAATGAGAAAATCAACTAACATTAAAATTTTGCAATATTCTGAATTAGAATGACTTTGTTAATACCTGTAACCTTAAACATCTGATATTTTTATTATCTAGAGCTCTGTAAAAAAATATAAAAAAAAAATATAAAAAATGAAAATACCAAAAAATGATATGAAAACAAAACTGTTTGTTAACAGAGTTCTAGATAATAAACATTGAGGGTGGTGTAAAAGGTGGGATTATTGTAATATTTTTTATGACCCCCGCCTTAAAGTCTTCTAAAGTTATCATTTTTAAAACAAACAAAAAATTGGAATGGCAATTTAAAAAGTATATAGTTCCTATGTGTAGGGACAGTGCCACTCTGCATGTTAAAGAACCCTTGCCACAAGTCTTTGAGGGGTCAGTAGGTGGCCTGTTGCAAGGCTTAATTTCTGCCCAACATATCGTTCTCTCAGTTGGGAGTCAAAATTTCCCTTACCTTCATCATCGGCCCACTTTATAGAACCTACAAATTGATTTGTTATGAAAAGAAGAGATGTGAGACATTACTGTCCTACAGAGACCAAATGATGTTGATGTAAAATAGGTTACTGTATGGACTTCAACAAATTGAGAAAATCAACTAACATTAAAATTTTGCAATATTCTGAATTAGAATGACTTTGTTAATACCTGTAACCTTAAACATCTGATATTTTTATTATCTAGAGCTCTGTAAAAAAATATAAAAAAAAAATATAAAAAATGAAAATACCAAAAAATGATATGAAAACAAAACTCTGTAAAAAAATATAAAAAAAAAATATAAAAAATGAAAATACCAAAAAATGATATGAAAACAAAACTGTTTGTAAAGAGAGTTCTAGATAATAAACATTGAGGGTGGTGTAAAAGGTGGGATTATTGTAATATTTTTTATGACCTCCGCCTTAAAGTCTTCTAAAGTTATCATTTTTAAAACAAACAAAAAATTGGAATGGCAATTTAAAAAGTATATAGTTCCTATGTGTAGGGACAGTGCCACTCTGCATGTTAAAGAACCCTTGCCACAAGTCTTTGAGGGTCAGTAGGTGGCCTGTTGCAAGGCTTAATTTGTGGCCAACATATCGTCTTCTCAGTTGGCAGTCAAAATTTCCCTTACCTTCGTCATCGGCCCACTTTATAGAACCTACAAATTGATTTGTTATGAAATGAAGAGATGCCAGACAACTATCCTACAGAGACCAAATGATGTTGATGTAAAATAGGTTACTGTATGGACTTCAACAAATTGAGAAAATCAACTAACATTAAAATTTTGCAATATTCTGAATTAGAACGACTTTGTTAATACCTGTAACCTTAAACATCTGATATTTTTATTATCTAGAGCTCTGTAAAAAAATATAAAAAAAAAATATAAAAAATGAAAATACCAAAAAATGATATGAAAACAAAACTGTTTGTAAAGAGAGTTCTAGATAATAAACATTGAGGGTGGTGTAAAAGGTGGGATTATTGTAATATTTTTTATGACCCCGCCTTAAAGTCTTCTAAAATTATCATTTTTAAAACAAACAAAAAATTGGAATGGCAATTTAAAAAGTATATAGTTCCTATGTGTAGGGACAGTGCCACTCTGCATGTTAAAGAACCCTTGCCACAAGTCTTTGAGGGTCAGTAGGTGGCCTGTTGCAAGGCTTAATTTCTGGCCAACATATCTTCTCAGTTGGCAGTCAAAATTTCCCTTACCTTCGTCATCGGCCCACTTTATAGAACCTACAAATTGATTTGTTATGAAATGAAGAGATGCGAGACAACTATCCTACAGAGACCAAATGATGTTGATGTAAAATAGGTTACTGTATGGACTTCAACAATGAGAAAATCAACTAACATTAAAATTTTGCAATATTCTGAATTAGAATGACTTTGTTAATACCTGTAACCTTAAACATCTGATATTTTTATTATCTAGAGCTCTGTAAAAAAATATAAAAAAAAAATATAAAAAATGAAAATACCAAAAAATGATATGAAAACAAAACTGTTTGTTAACAGAGTTCTAGATAATAAACATTGAGGGTGGTGTAAAAGGTGGGATTATTGTAATATTTTTTATGACCCCCGCCTTAAAGTCTTCTAAAGTTATCATTTTTAAAACAAACAAAAAATTGGAATGGCAATTTAAAAAGTATATAGTTCCTATGTGTAGGGACAGTGCCACTCTGCATGTTAAAGAACCCTTGCCACAAGTCTTTGAGGGGTCAGTAGGTGGCCTGTTGCAAGGCTTAATTTCTGGCCAACATATCCTCCTCTCAGTTGGCAGTCAAAATTTCCCTTACCTTCGTCATCGGCCCACTTTATAGAACCTACAAATTGATTTGTTATGAAATGAAGAGATGCCAGACAACTATCCTACAGAGACCAAATGATGTTGATGTAAAATAGGTTACTGTATGGACTTCAACAAATTGAGAAAATCAACTAACATTAAAATTTTGCAATATTCTGAATTAGAATGACTTTGTTAATACCTGTAACCTTAAACATCTGATATTTTTATTATCTAGAGCTCTGTAAAAAAATATAAAAAAAAAATATAAAAAATGAAAATACCAAAAAATGATATGAAAACAAAACTCTGTAAAAAAATATAAAAAAAAAATATAAAAAATGAAAATACCAAAAAATGATATGAAAACAAAACTGTTTGTAAAGAGAGTTCTAGATAATAAACATTGAGGGTGGTGTAAAAGGTGGGATTATTGTAATATTTTTTATGACCTCCGCCTTAAAGTCTTCTAAAGTTATCATTTTTAAAACAAACAAAAAATTGGAATGGCAATTTAAAAAGTATATAGTTCCTATGTGTAGGGACAGTGCCACTCTGCATGTTAAAGAACCCTTGCCACAAGTCTTTGAGGGTCAGTAGGTGGCCTGTTGCAAGGCTTAATTTCTGGCCAACATATCGTCTTCTCAGTTGGCAGTCAAAATTTCCCTTACCTTCGTCATCGGCCCACTTGATAGAACCTACAAATTGATTTGTTATGAAATGAAGAGATGCGAGACAACTATCCTACAGAGACCAAATGATGTTGATGTAAAATAGGTTACTGTATGGACTTCAACAATGAGAAAATCAACTAACATTAAAATTTTGCAATATTCTGAATTAGAATGACTTTGTTAATACCTGTAACCTTAAACATCTGATATTTTTATTATCTAGAGCTCTGTAAAAAAATATAAAAAAAAAATATAAAAAATGAAAATACCAAAAAATGATATGAAAACAAAACTGTTTGTTAACAGAGTTCTAGATAATAAACATTGAGGGTGGTGTAAAAGGTGGGATTATTGTAATATTTTTTATGACCCCCGCCTTAAAGTCTTCTAAAGTTATCATTTTTAAAACAAACAAAAAATTGGAATGGCAATTTAAAAAGTATATAGTTCCTATGTGTAGGGACAGTGCCACTCTGCATGTTAAAGAACCCTTGCCACAAGTCTTTGAGGGGTCAGTAGGTGGCCTGTTGCAAGGCTTAATTTCTGGCCAACATATCCTCCTCTCAGTTGGCAGTCAAAATTTCCCTTACCTTCGTCATCGGCCCACTTTATAGAACCTACAAATTGATTTGTTATGAAATGAAGAGATGCCAGACAACTATCCTACAGAGACCAAATGATGTTGATGTAAAATAGGTTACTGTATGGACTTCAACAAATTGAGAAAATCAACTAACATTAAAATTTTGCAATATTCTGAATTAAAATGACTTTGTTAATACCTGTTACCTTAAACATCTGATATTTTTATTATCTAGAGCTCTGTAAAAAAATATAAAAAAAAAATATAAAAAATGAAAATACCAAAAAATGATATGAAAACAAAACTGTTTGTAAAGAGAGTTCTAGATAATAAACATTGAGGGTGGTGTAAAAGGTGGGATTATTGTAATATTTTTTATGACCCTGCCTTAAAGTCTTCTAAAATTATCATTTTTAAAACAAACAAAAAATTGGAATGGCAATTTAAAAAGTATATAGTTCCTATGTGTAGGGACAGTGCCACTCTGCATGTTAAAGAACCCTTGCCACAAGTCTTTGAGGGGTCAGTAGGTGGCCTGTTGCAAGGCTTAATTTCTGGCCAACATATCCTCCTCTCAGTTGGCAGTCAAAATTTCCCTTACCTTCATCATCGGCCCACTTTATAGAACCTACAAATTGATTTGTTATGAAAAGAAGAGATGTGAGACATTACTATCCTACATACAGAGACCAAATGATGTTGATGTAAAATAGGTTACTGTATGGACTTCAACAATGAGAAAATCAACCAACATTAAAATTTTGCAATATTCTGAATTAGAATGACTTTGTTAATACCTGTAACCTTAAACATCTGATATTTTTATTATCTAGAGCTCTGTAAAAAAATATAAAAAAAAAATATAAAAAATGAAAATACCAAAAAATGATATGAAAACAAAACAGTTTGTAAACAGAGTTCTAGATAATAAACATTGAGGGTGGTGTAAAAGGTGGGATTATTGTATTATTTTTTATGACCCCCACCTTAAAGTCTTCTAAAGATATCACATATCCTCCTCTCAGTTGGCAGAGACCAAATGATGTTGATGTCAAATAGGTTACTGTATGGACTTCAACAAATTGAGAAAATCAACTAACATTTAAATTTTGCAATATTCTGATTTAGAATGTCTTTGCCTCTAACCTTTAAAATCTGATATTTTTATTATTTAGAGCTCTGTAAAAAAAAGAAAATACCAAAAAATAATATGAAAACAAAATTGTTTGTAAACAGAGTTCTAGATAATAAACATTGAGGATGTTGTAAAAAGCAGGCATATTTAAAATTTTGTTTATTATTATGAATAGTGCACTGTATAATTTGTAAAAATGTTTATTGTGAAGTCTTCGAAAATTGTGAAACTTTAGAACTGTGTTTATTTGAGATGTCTATATTCAGTCTTCAATGATTGTCATGGCAATTGAGGACAATAGAATATAGCTCTGTGTAGAAACTGACTTTTTTATATCGAGAAAGATCCAACAAAAGTTTTCAATGATATCTAAAGAGACGAAAGACAGAAATACTAAAAGGTTTCCTATGAGATTGGTGGATTATGTACAGTCGGACAACTGGCACACTCATGCTAAAAGTTAAATAGCTATTAAAATAAAATTATGTACTTGTATAATAACATTAATGAAGACAGATGTTCTATAGTGAAAACATGTTCCTACATAATGTTGTATAGTGAAGACATGTTCATACATAATGTTGTATAGTGAAGAAGTATTCCTACATAATGTTCTATAGTGAAGACATGTTCCTACATAATGTTCTATAGTGAAGACACGTTCCTACATATTGTTCTATAGTGAAGACATGTTCCTACATAATGTTCTATAGTGAAGACATGTTCCTACATAATGTTCTATAGTGAAGACATGTTCCTACATAATGTTCTATAGAGAAGACATGTTCCTACATATTGTTCTATAGTGAAGACATGTTCCTACATAATGTCTTATAGTGAAGACACGTTCCTACATAATGTTCTATAGAGAAGACAGATGTTCTATAGCACAAACAGATGTTCCTAAGTTGCAATGAAGTGTTCAGAAGACAGACAGCGTTTCCTTTTGCAATGAAATTATCCAGAACACATAGTTGATTAGATTTCCAGTTCATTACATATTCTGACGTTTTCTCAAGAAAAACACAAGGTATTGATATAGTTTAAGTCTGTAAAAAGTGTATTATTTGCACAGAATTTAAATTTTGAATTATAAGGCCAAACCTGTTAGTGTGGATTTATTTTATGATTTTCTTGTTCCTGATTTATGATGCTTCTTGAATATTTAAATTTATGGAAGGTAAATTTTTAGTTGCTAATATATTTTTGATAATGTTTTGTAATTTTTTCTGGTTTTCTTTTTGATTGTTGAACATGAAGAATTATGAAATTTGTATGACTTGATAAGATACTTAGTATCGAAAAGAAAAGTTGTATCAAAACTGCCAATAAATACTTTTTGACAATTCATTTCCTTAGATGAAGACATTGATATTTCCTCAGTTGAAAACATTGAAAATGCCTATAAAAATAATAGCTTAATATTTCATTAGAATCTATTGTAAGGCAGCATGTTATTTTGATTTGTTGGTTATTTGTAAAATCAGCCAGAACTTTTTTACAAAGTAAAAAAATAATAATTGAATGCTAACAAGGGGAAATAGTTTATCAAATTGTGAAAGAAAAATACAAGTGAGCACTTGAAAAAAGCTTAAAAGTAGCAACTGTACCAAGCATACATCTTACTGCAAGTTAAAACTGAGGGAATTCTTTCCAAAATGAGAATCTTGTTACAATCATTTATTGAATAACACTGATGGAGGGTAATAACAGCCATAGATAATATTGATAGAAAAGGGAAAACAAATGTATTTAACAGTAATGTCATATTAGCTATGACATTAAGATGATGTGGTAGGATTGACAATGGATAAATCTATATAGCAGTGACCAAATGAAATCAATTAGTTTGATTATCTTCTTATTATAAAATTTAAAAAAAAAAACATACAAAAATCTTAATTAAATAGTTTTGATTTAAATGATTATTTTATGTGAAGTATGTGACTGCCAATTCATAAAAATGAATTATTTTTATTCCAGATTTCAATGTTCAACCTGAAAGGAGAAATTCTTAAAATTTATGCTGGACATCTCATATCAAGGATCCATCACAATATTGATATTAGACTTATGAAGAATATTCTGATAAATTAATGGTAAGTGTTTACCTTAAAGAATCTTGTGGGTTGATTGTGATGCATACAATCACCTGAATTAATATGGAATTGGAACCATTGTACAACACGCTAATAGAAGCCAGCATATGCTTTTAATATTCAAAACAAAACAAAAATATTTTCAAAATACCTAGTAATTTCTTGAAATTGTGTCAATCTGTTTTACAAATTTGATCGGATTAATAATAATATTCAAAACAAAAAAAAGTCAATTTTCAAAATACCTAGTAGTTTCTTGTAATTCTGTCATTCTGTTTTGCAAATTTGATCGGATTGATAAAAAAGTACTACTGGGGTAAATGTGAGATGTATTGGACCAAATAATAAGCTCAAGTTGTTTTAATATTGTAAGGGTATTCTCAATGTTTTCAGAATACTGTAAAATTCTTAAAGGTATAAAGTATAAATAAATATTGTTCATGCAGATGATCCAAAATACTAAGACATATTTTCTGTGTTTCAGATGTACGACAAATCGTGCTACAAGTATCATACCAGCAAAATTATTTGATGGGAGTAAAACATAGGAGCAGGATCTCACCTCATACAAGGTTGGTATTCTTACTTCCTTAGCGAATTAATTATCTGTCCATCTGATGTCACAATGTTCTAATAAAAGGAAGATGTGGTTTGATTGCCGATGAGACAACTCGCCACCAGAGACCAAATGATGTGGAAGTTTACAAATATATCTTTCTCGGTTGGCAATGTGACAGAGCTGCTTAAAAACTGTTTCACTCCATGAGTCAACTTATGAACATGATGTACTGGAAATAACCAGTTGATTAAAGTAACTACTTTTATTGTTGTTCTTCATCATAACAGTTGCTGTAGAGTATTCACCTATGAACTGAAATGTTTATACTTAATAACAATGTCAAGATGACCCCTATGGTCAACTTGAACATTATATGTGCAATAATGGTAACATGACTCCAACTGGAGGTATCAGCTGTATTAAATAAAGAGACCAAATAGGAAAATTTTATGAAAAGATTATCAGACGTCAAAAGAATGAAATAATTGTCAATGTATTTTGGTTAGTTTTAGTTTTTGTCCGTATACCTCACTTTTTTGTATTCATATCTGAAATTAGAACAAAACGACGCTGTTTTGAGAATTTTTAATCTAAGCCTGTTTGAGGGACCTAAATCGGGGAAAATATTTCTATGGTAGTTACATTAAGTTTTCAGAATAATACTGAACTGCTCTCCATTATTGCTGTAAAACCTTTTTGTTCAAAATTCAAGTGCTGTTCCCATATTCTTTTGAAATTTTTGTTATCCTATTGAATTAACTAATTAAATTGTTGTTTGTAGTGAGGAGGAACAGTTGAACTGATGAACTTTGAACTGATGAACTTGGAACCATCTACTGATGAACTTGGAAACATCTGAAAGGAATACACAAGAAAAACAGACCACATAGAATAAGGAAAGAGAAAGATTGACTCAACTGATGAACTTATAACAAGCTTAACAGATTATCAGCATAGTTGAACAATGAACACTTCAGAGACAAAATATTCTTGGCAATGAAAATATATGACTGAAATTTCATAATTGTATATGGTCAGTGGGAGAGAGAGAAAGATGTAGAATGGTCAGAGTGGGAGAGGGAGAACACTTATGATTATGAGTGGGGAGAAAAATAGAACAATTATTACAACCGGTAAATTTGTCTTCAACCAAACTCATGGCTTGTGTTGAACCTTAGACATCTGATATTTTTATTATCTAGAGCTCTGTTTAAAAAAAATGTAAAAAATAATATGAAAACAAAATTTAAACAGTTCTAGATAATAAACATTAAGGGTGGTGTAAAAAGTGGGCATATTTTAAATTTTTCTTTTTTTCACCAATGTATTTATGAAATTTAAAACTTTAAAGTCAGAATGTTTAATTGGACGTACAATTGTTTTGATTTTAGATATTTGGTGACAAAACCTATTCTTCTTCATTTATTACACTCTAAAAGTGTCATTAATTTGCAATATTCTTAATTTAATTGTCTTTGCTTATACCTCTAACCTCAGACATCCAATATTTTTATTATCTAGAGCTCTGTAAAAAAAAAAAAAATTGTAAATAGAGTTCTAGATAATAAACATTAAGGGTGGTGTAAAAAGTGGTTATATATTTTATATTTTGAATTCTCCCCCTCCCCAATATATTTACAAAATTAAATACAAGAGATATTTATTAGTAAATGATTTGTGTTGGATAAGTTTTTTCCTTTCATTAGTTTATTTTAAAAAATGTTTTTTTCAAGCTGTACATTTTTCTTGGGTATTGAAAATGGCTTTGAAGCTAATATGTTTAATTGAATTTTTTTATTATTAGATATTGGACACAAAACCTATCTTCTCTGTATATTTCACCTTAACAGTGTCTTAGATTTGCAATGTCTTTGCTTATACCTCTAACCTTAGACATCCAATATTTTTATTATCTAGAGCTCTAAAAAAAAAAAAAAAAAAAATAATATGAAAACAAAATTGCAGAGTTCTAGATAATAAACATAAGGGTGGTGTAAAAAGTGGGTATATTTTGAAATCTTAAATGGCCTTAAAGTTTGAATGTTTAAATGGAAGTAGAATTCTTTCAATTTTAGATGTTTTGAGATAAAACCTATCATCTCGGTATATATTTATACTGTGTATAACAGTGTCTTAAATTCTGCAATATTGTGATTTTGAATGTCTTTGTTAACTCTTTAAACTTTTAACATTTGAATTCCATTCAGTATTAAAATAATATGTGATGCAAATTTTTCTGGTTATTCTCTGTTATTAAGGATATTTGTATTAAATGTTTTTGTCTCGCATGCCACAAAAACTTCAGAATGCAAGACATTAGGATCTGGCGGTGGCAGAAGCTATTTGTATTAAGCTTTATATTTCAGAAATTGATAGGCTTGGAGGATTTAATCATACCATTAATACAGACAGATGCCATATGTTTGGAAGTTTCTGTCTGTCACATGTCTGTTGTCCTTGATTTTATATTCATGGTTCAGCAACTGCTTAAAAAAAGATTTTTTTTTATTTGAATTTCTCAATGATGAGTAATAGGATTTGATATGGGTCATTGCAATGTCTATATGTTCTTCAGACAGGGTTCACCTGACCTCAGTCTCATTGATCAAGGTGAAAGTCACATGTTTTGATCTACTTCCCAGATACTGTAAGCAGAAGTTAACTTTATTTGGTGTATGGAATGATTGTAAGGTATACATGTCAGTCTGGCAGGTTTTATCTGACCTTGACCTCATTTTCTTTGTCTGAATGTTGTTTTCCTGGTTAATATGAAAATAAGGAGATATGGTATGGTGGGGTTACTGACTATCCTTCCTGGTATAACTGTACCGACAGCACTTGCCAAATCATACCCTGTTCTAACCAGAAAACATTGAAAAATATACCCTGTTCTAAACAGAAATATTTAAAAACATACCCTGTTCTAGACACGCTCAAGAAAATGTAGAATAGATGCTGTTCTAGACCCGGGTTCTAGACTGTATCTTAAACAGTTAAATTAGCGATCCTGGTCTAGACAAATGCTTTGTTTAAAAAAAAGGCCCTGTAAGACCCTGTTCTCACCAGAAAGGCATGAAAAAGCGACCCTGTTCTAACCAGCAGGACATGAAAAGGGACCATATGTTCTAACCAACAGGGCATGAAAAAGCGACCCTGTTTTGCTCGATCCACACTCGTACCACTAAAAATATAGGAAGTAACACTCCCCACCCCCTCCCTCCCCCCGGGTGTTTGTAATGATTGTAGGTGTCTTTCTGGCTTGGTTTATCTGAACATGACCCAAAACTATCATCATAAAATAAATTATAAATAGTATTTTTAAAGCAGGCCAGACATTTCAGATGTTCGCTCCTCTTGTTTTTGAATTTTTGTCAGATATTCAGAATCCTCTGGTTTTATCCATGTATAGTGCCATTTAAACATTTTGCCCACTAAGCCCTACTTTTCTTTTCATAATTTTATAACATATAGTTTAAAAAGCCATATTTGAAAATCTTGTAAAATCCTTGTTATTTTCTCAAAGTTTTTATGTAAAACAATTCAAACGAGAAAACTAACGTCCTAATTTATGTACAAAAAATGAACTAATAACAAATATGTAACATATAAACAAACGACAACCACTGAATAACAGGCTCCTGATTTGGGACAGGCACATACATACAGAATATGGCGGTGTTAAACATGTTAGCAGGATCCCAGCCCTCCCCCTAACCTGGGACAGTGGTGTAACAGTACAATATAAGAACAAACTATAAAAATCAGTTGAAAGAGGCTTTACTCATCAGATGGATAAAATACAAATACAATGGACATGGCCGGGTAGTTGTACATCCAAACAACAAAAAGACACTAAGTACAGATCTGAGAGTACTCACAGTTTACATGTATTAGTTAGTGATTAGGTCAGTTTATGGGGAACCACTAGTGGTAGGCCAATGATATTTGGTATGCAGTTGTATTAGCATTGGCACATCTCATTACCATGGAGATAATTTGGCCCCGCTCCCTCAGTCAAGGTCTATTGACTTTGAAACTTTGCTTAGTTTACATGTATTAGTTTGTGATTAGGTCAGTTTATGGGGAACCACTAGTGGTAGGTCAATGATATTTGGTATGCAGTTGTATAAGCATTGGCATTTCTCATTTCTATAGAGATAATTTGGCCCCTTCCCCTCATTCATGATCTACTGACTTTGAAACTTTTGCTTAGTTTTCATGTATTAGTTTGTGATTAGGTCAGTTTAAGGGGAACTGTTAGTGATAGGTCAGTGATAATTGGTTTGCAGTTGTATAAGCATTAGTACATCTCATTTCCATGGAGAATATTTGGTCTTTACCCCTCAGTCATGGTTTATTGACTTTGAAACTTTTGCTTAGTTTACAAGTTACTGTTTGTGTTTACTAGGTTTGTTTAAAGGGAACGACTTATGAAAAGTCAATGGTATTTGGTTTGCAGTTGTATTCGCATTGACACATCTCACTTCCATGGAGATTGTTTATCCCTGTACCTTCAGTCATGGTTCATTGACTGAATATTTGCATAACTTACATGTTAAAGTATTGCTATTTTAATTTCAACAAATATTAGCATTATCAAAATAACAGATAGGCGAGACATATCTGTGTTAACAGTTTATTTGTTGATACTACAGTAGATTGAAACAGCAAAAAATACAATCAGGATTATTTTTTTCCAATCAATTGACATGGCCAAAATTAGCATTCAACATTATTAAGGACTTAATTGCCCAGAAACAATCATAATTATTCTTATTGCAAAATATCAATTTTATGCAAAAATTCTATGGGAGCGATACAGAGCCCTTTTAAGACACAAATAGGCACTGACTGCTAAAGAGGGGGCCCGCTCCAGTCATGCATCAGTGATTCCCTACATAATCAACCAAATTATCAAATGGGTCAAAAGTAATTTTTTCATGCAAAAGCACTAATTTATTGCAAATGCTATATTTAATGTTGCAAATGCTATATAATTGTAGCTTTTGCGCTTCTTGTAATATTTCGTAGCAAATCCTATCGGCTAACATACCATTAGGCTCATATATTCATTTGGTGCATTTGCGGTAATTAATGTAGCATTTGCGGTAATTAATGTAGCATTTGCGGTAATTAATGTAGCATTTGCGGTATTTGTTACCGCATTAGCTTAATCTTAACACAAAAATATACAGAGAAGAGCAATGAACCTGAAATTTGAGGCCTAAATCGGCTCTTACCAGACCTACTCCTTTCCCAATTTTGCATGACTTGTAGCTTGAACAAAGCATGATCAAATCAACATTTAGGAAAAGTATAAGACAATTCTGTTTGAGGATCCACACCTTAAATCAGTCCACATGTTCTGCATGAGAAACGTAGATAATCTTGTTTCAGGAGATTTATAAATATACCTGAACATGTAAAATAAGAAGATGTGGTATGATAACCAAAATGAGACAACTCCCCACCAAAGAACAAATAACATAGAAGTTAAAAACCATGAATAACTATATACGGAAATAATGAGCAAAACATATACACGCATAGTAAGCCACGAAAGGACCAGATTTAAACTTATTACGCGGGAAAATAGCTTCTGTATAAGATGTTATAGACACAGAGGACATCGATCCTCTATGCATATTTAATTTTATTGTCAGTTCATTGTCTTCATCAGATGAATGTATGAAGATAGTGATGATTAAGCCTTTTTATTGAAAATATCAGCAATGAAAGAAAGGACGGCAATACCTAAATTTGAATAATTTTAGACATTGCTTTGAGTTATAAAACCTCTTTTTAGTTGGAAAAATATGTTTAGATAATTCATTAAATGTTAAGTTAGAAAAAAAATGCAGCGTTTGCACTAACAAAAGACGAACTACAAACAGGACGCATTATCAGCGAGTGTATAGTTTGTCAAAGTTTATGCAGTCTTTGCAAACGTATGTTAGAAACAAATGATCTAAACGTGTGCGAAAAAAATGCACTCTATATTAACGCTCACCTTTCGGGACCTATATTGGCGTCTCGGGTTTATACGGGTGCGATATTTAAAAAGCCTTACCATACAATATTCCCTTTGTATGCAATAACATATATTACGACAAAAAGTATAGAACTTGTTGATGAAAATAAGATATGATATGATTTTTTTATCTGAAACTTTGTTAAATAAGTTTGTGTGTCCATATGTGAACCTTGAAATATCGGTCATATCGAGGGTTTAATGCAACAACCACTTAACTGAAAATTTTGCAGTTTTGAGATTTTTATTTTTTAAATAACGTAATGGTATTAAAGAATATTTTCACATTTTTTTTAGAGCAACTGGATATACAGTAAAATTTTAATTGACATGTTCATCAATCTATTATCAGTTTGATATAGAAAGTCTGCCAGCAGGAAAGACTTATCTCTTATTACTTTGTAAAATTAATGCAGGTAATATACTCTTTATTTAATAGCTTGCCCCAAAACCACAACACGGTTACGATAGATAAGTTTTGTTGCATTCCTTATAACAAATATCCATAGGCGCATCCAGTGGGGGGGGGGATGGTGGCCCTGGGTGGCCCAGGCCCTCCCTTTTGTGGGAAAAATTTGGTTGATTATATAGGGAATCACTGAAGCATGACTGGAGCGCCCCCTTTTAGGTCAGTCAGTGTCCCCCCCCCCTTACAAAAAGTTCTATACCCGCCACTGATATCGTTTGCAAAATCGAATGCAATAACACAGAAGTTCGAATTACTTGCTTATTGCATTTGACATTTTAATTGATTTATCTTGACACCTTAAACCACATCCCCATCAACATCAGATAATAATGGGTTACAGCTGTAAAGATGAAGTGAATATCAGCAGGTCATCAAGCACGTAAAGTCAATTAAGTGTATCTGGCATGACCTCATAGTATAGTGTAAATTAAATTGTTATGATTTAAATAGTTTTTGATATAGAATTTGTCATATTCGGATAAGTTAGATAGGTGTATGTATAATTTGGTTTATATTTTGAATATTATAATTAAAAGAATTTATTTTGCATTATATACATGATATAATAACAATGTTATTGTTATACATGCCTGTAATATGAGTTTGCAATGTTACAAAACATTCAAGAAACATAATATTTATATAAAAAAAAATCTAGTTTAGAAACATTATATATTTTGTATAATTTCAATCAACTAATTTGCATTAATATCATGATTTCGTTGTTTTTG